CGTTTAGGGGCAATATAGATTAATTAGTTCTGCTGGGAGTATTTGTTGTATTGGATGAAAATAGATGTTGAAACAGTCAATAGTCCAAGTGGCAGTATTTATACACAGACTTCGGGTATCTTTTTTATTAGCATGGGCGGCATCATTCGAGAAGTGTATTTGATGCTTAGTAGGTTTCATATGAAAAGGTTTCTTGGTACAGAGCACTAGAAAATATGTGGCGTGGAGCCATTGCAGGCGAGTGACGTCCACAGCCAATATGTAAATTGGTCTCCAGTTTAATCATTTGTTCAGAATGTCCCTGCTACTAATACTGTTGGGAATGGTCAGACGGTTTGTCGCAAGATAAATCACGACCAGTAGGTGAGTTAATCTTGAAGATGGTCCAGAATTTGCAAAAGAGTGAGCAGTCAATAATAATTGGCGCCAATGAACAGGTATTATTCCCATAAGTAATCAAGTTTAGACCGAATTTGAACATCAAATGTCGACTTGCAGCTGTTTCTGCAAATGGGGAAAGAAAGAAGAAGCGTGAGCAGATATGGAAAGAGAAATTACCACGCTATCGAATTTGGAGTAGGGAGAAGTCCCCATTCTTGTTTTGCACATATGTACATATTCATGTATATATGTGAAGTCAACTACATAATCCTTCCATCATAAGGTCCTTAAATTGTTTTATTTGGGGGGGGGGTGTACCGTAGCGGCTTTGAGAGATGAGCTGTATTCTTTAAGTTCATTATTTGGAGAGGAGCCAGTATTCACACTCTTGTACGCAATCGCAAAGCCATCTGCATTGAAGGAACTGGAGGGATTTAATAAAACCGGCTGTTACATTTGGAGGTCTGAGAACATTCACAGTGGACGCAATGGCTTGATCATTGTTGTGTGCCGATGGCTCCATTATGCCTCATGTTTGTGGATACAGCGTAAGTGTCAAGAAATTTATGGCTACCCGTGAAAAGAAAAAATTCACTGAGTAGACGTCGAAACTGAAGGGCAGACATGCAAGAGCGAATAAAATGTGGAAACTTGTTCCACAACTTGCTGTACTGTAACATGAAGGATCGTGATCTAAGTTTAAGGTGGTGCTTTTCTACAGGTACAGTGCATTCACGATTGCATAGACCATATGAGGATATAGGCTTAGAAGAAGGAGCGCAACAGGCGTGAGCAATGCCATGCAAAAGGCGGAAAAATAGGTTAAGGTTGAGCCTGAGGCGTCTTAGCCAAAGTGGGTCTATTTTCAGCTTCCCACACCTTCCCTCATAATCAAGTTCTTCGTGACGGCCCAGTATATAGCGGGTAAACTTTCTTTGAACATTCCCTATCAGTATCCTATCCGAAGCATACATGTTGATGAAGATGACTGCGCTATATTCAATAACTGGACGGATCATTACCTTGAATAAAAGCAGTCTGGCCTCAGTGTTATGTACGTGTTTGAGCAAAACGTCAACTGGGTGCCTACACTTTGAGGCAATTGACTGGGCATATTCCATAAACGTTAAGTTCCGAGAATACCTAATACCTGAATCCCCCACTGAGTTGTAGGATTGCAGCACAGAATCGCCAAGGTGTAAACTGACGTTTGGATAAGAGTTATTGAAACAGAGAATTCCGCATTTACTTGAGTTAAGTGGAAGTTGACGTGTTTCACTCCAAGCGAACAAATTCTCCAGGTCTTCCTAGATTCTACTAAAACCATCACTTAGTGATGAGTGGGGAAGGCTATACAAAAATTTTAAGTCATCAGCAAACAGGTAGGGTTTACCACACTTCATCAAGCTGGAAATATCATTTATGTAAAGGAGGAAGAGTAGGGGTCTCAACACACTACCTTGAATGACGCCGCTCAAAATAGGAGAAGGAATAGGTGTGACTGAACTTTACTATCTGGGTACGCTGCCTAAGGAACGAGCTTATCCATGACAATAGAGCGTCACTAATTCCAAATGACTGAAGCTTGAGAATTAACCGATTATGAGGCACTTTATCAAATGCTTTTTTGAAGTCAAAAAATGGGGCAGTTACGAAAAGACCTTCATCTCGTCTGCAGGTGACCTCCTCAAAATAATCCAGTAAGCAAGTACTACATGAACGACCTTTAAGAAACTATGCTGCGTAGGGGAAAGTAGCCGATGCACAGCCACGTAATCACTGATTTCTTGCACAACCACCTTCTCCATGATACGAGAGACTACAGATGTAATGTTTATGGGACGATAATTCTGAATGTCTGACGTCTGCCCAGATTTATACGTGGGAGATATGTATGACGGCTTCCAGCGGTCAGGGTAGCATGCCTCAGTAAGGGATATTGAGAGTAGCTTCATGAGGATCAATGGTATGTCTTCCCCACCTCTCTTAAGGAGAACAGACGGGATCCCATCGGATCCGCAGAATATGAGTCCTTTAATAAGGCAACTGCATCATCTATCCTTTTCTGTGTAAAGGAAACATTACTTAGTGAGTGATGTGGTGGAATGGGCATCTGCATGTTTAGTACACTATCCTCGTGCGTGAAGCAGCTTGCATAATGTTTACTAAACAGCTCACATATCTTGCTTGGGTCATCACCAGACTACTGAGAATAACTTTGGATAAGTTTGCGCGGGATTTCAGAATTCTCATTGATGATTGAACATTGCCTGTTTTTGCGTTGCAGCTAGTTTCTTGTTGATTGCTTTCATCAACCTATTTGATTTGAAGTTCTCATGAGCAATTTTTAATGAGACAAGGGATGAAAAGTCATTAAATCGATAGACATTTCTGGCATGTCTGCGCATGCTGATACGTACATTTTCAGGGATGAAATTCAATTTCGGCTTTCTAATTAATACTGATACCTCCGGAGCAATGTGATCGCGAATTACATTCATGGAACTGTAGAAGGTGTCACTTAGTTCATGGGTTGAGCTACTGATGAAATAAGAACCTCAGTCCAAGCATCGCAACATGTTTTGTATCTCTTCCCAGATGGTATTTTTATATCGTCTAACTGTGGTTGTTTTTGACCTGGAAGCCAACGTATTTCTGGGAGACAGTCGGAAGTCACCAAACACTACTCTGTGATCGCTGCCCGGGAATCCTGGACTGACTTGAAGAGTGAAAGGCAATAATCCATTGGTGAAAGCGAGGTCAAGTATGCTATTATGTCTAGTTGGTTGCATTACATGTTGGCGCCATCCTCCAGAATCCAACGCATTAATAAAATTATCAAACCACCTAGGAGAGGTAAGTGCCTGCCACTTGATGTCAGACACATTAAAGTCACCGCATATAAGTTGTTTGGAGTAGGGCAGTGTTGTTACATGGGTGAACACTTCTGCAAGCTTGTCGTCATAATACCGACCAGTAAAATAATGCTGATGGCTTGTCACCATTTGCTTCATGTGCACAGGCTTCCATCTTGTAATTTCGGCTATTTTTCTTGGACGCTAAATTAATTTTTTGCATTTGTAGTCAGACATATGCGAGCTTATTATGTGACTGGAACCCTAAGCCTATTGAACGTAACCCTATGGCTGTAGACATTAAGGAGATGCGAGTGCCTACTACAGGATCGATATATGAAATGCGGCCGTTAGCCCAGGAAAGTCCGGACACGGCGCACTGAGCGTTGCCGGAATTCTACGCCAAGGTTTATGAGGAGCGTTGACTGCAGGAGTAAACTTCAGTAACTGGATATGTATCCATTTATACCACTTGTATCGTTGTCTTAGAAGAGAAATATGCTGCTTGGACCAACGTTTTCAAAATATTTCTGCGAGAATATTAGCTTGTCACGATAGCCTAAAAAAATCTATCACTCCTCCATGTTCCCGAAGCCCTCCTAAGCTGTCCCTCAACAGCGGCAACTTTGATGCAGTTAGTACTGTTAGGTCCTCAACATCTCATGCACATGGAACCAATGGAAGGTCGTTGATTATAAGTGTAGTTTCCGTGATAGGTGTCATGAGACTTTAATTTGTTAATGGCTGCCCATTCATTAGAGCGTTTAGTGTTTGGTGCGTCGCACGGATCATGCGCTCCTAAACCTCGCCCTGACACCTCACCGCCAGTGGACTGATATGCCAGTCAGTTCTTTTACTTAACAACTTGCTGTGAATCCATTCCTGTTTCCACTCTCTCAAGTCTTTGTCCAGCTCATCTCTGGTTGATTAGTTTCGGAAGCTTCTGTGGCTCGTTACTTCAAGCACTTTGAATGCTGAAAGTGACTAGGAAATGAACACTTGTCAACCGGCATTTTAAGGATACAGGTTCATTACCACTGTTATTGGGCTAGAAAGTGTCCCCAGAATACTCATAGAAGACCAGAATTCCCTGTGAAGCCTGCGCAACTAATCGTGAACTTAATGGGAAAGTTAAAAGTCTGTGGTTCAACTCGCTGTTTCTATGGTCTGCCGTCACGGTTTTTATGAAGTGAATTGACGAGTAAGGTTTATGAAATAGCTCCTGTCTTCAGAAATGAATGGAGGATGAGTTAAGTGCAGTTGTACCATTCTTGGATGATGGAAAAACGGATTTTTATATAATTACGAGCTTTGATTTGTTCCAGAAGCGCTAACGTAATATGTCCTCTATTGAAACTCAGAATAAGAATCGAAAGTTCATAAGAACCCAAGAAACAGTCGTTGTTGACGGATAAAGCAATTCAGGTAGGTATGTTACAAATCATGACACTAAAATGCATTATTTTTCTCGATCATTCCCCCACCTATGCAGGTCAGGTGGGGGACCCATTATTCTCCTCATGAAAACAAGCCCTAAGAACTAGACGCGAGAGATCAAAAACTATCCGTTTTCTACGCTCACACTATCAATATTGGATAATGGATATTGGGTATTGGAATGTGGCACATCAGTGAATTGGTAATGTGATCTGTTTCAGCGGACGACAACAACATGAAAGTTTATATAAGGCTGAATGGCGAATCCATGAAGTTCATAAACAGATATATACACATACTTATCTTATATATATTGGACATATGTCTGTTCACTGACCTTGTCTCATCAGGCGGTGAACATCTATTTGGCGACAGATATATAGTTTCAAGATTGTAAGTATTATCAAATCTTCAGGGAATTATGACGTAGCTGCTGATAACACCACTTGTTTATTGCACTTCTATAACTGGTTGACATTTTTTCGGGCTAATTCGGGAGATTAAGTTGTGAGTAATGCCTATACTGCAACGGAATTCATCAAGGACATAGAACCATTTCGCAAGACCTAGAAGCAGGCGAGAAGAAACTAATTGGTTTACACTAACTCATAGAAAGATATCAGATATTTTGCATTTAAAAGGGAGCACGAGACCGTCTGAGTCAATCACAAAAAGTTGTACGGAAAGCCGGAACTACTCGTCTAAGTAGTGCAAAGAGGTTGTGGAACATAACCTCTGTACATTGTTTTACAAGTATTTTGTTTCTTGTATCTTACTGTAGAGTTTCCTTTGTGCACTGATGCAAGACACTCTCATTCCTTATCACTCTACTCAGTACGTTCTTACCTTCATCCTTATAATCCTTATTCTGCAAAGCGTCAGGTCCCACTCTTGTGCATTATTTCATGGTTTGAGCAGCCATATCAACTTCTCGGAGAATTAGGTGGCTCGCATTTGCATCCCATTCATTTTGTATGATAAGAACTACGTTCTTACCATCATCTGGCTAGATGATTATGATGTGCGAGTTCGACCAACACGTCAACGTAGCTATCAGTTGTATTGTAAACGGGGAACAATGATTAAAACTTTGACTTCCTGTGCCACAGTAATCCTATGAACTACACTAACTGAAACACTTGTTGTCTTGAGGTCATACCATGCCTTTAAGGTCTGTCGGATAATAGTAAGAAAAAAGCGCTTACGGTCTGTGTTAATTTTAAACTGTGATAACTTACTGACAAAATCAACCCAAAACCTCGCACACAAGTGAGTCGTCCCAAGTTACCACACTTCATTGTAGTCAACAGCGAACAAGTAGATAAACAAACAATGATGTCAAAGAAGATAAAGTTGTGAGAGAACAAACAATCTGAAGATATTGGTTGTGCAAATATTCAAGCTTTAGAAGATTTCAAGGGGTGAATTTGATGACAGTAGACATCTCGGCGGATACTACTAGTTCTAGTCAATTCGAATGACAAGTCCATAATCCCTTACACGGGAGTAGAGAGCTTCGATTTGCGTTCTATACTTGCTCGGTACTCTCCTGACAGTCAGACACTGCCACAGTACCTCACGGTCGACAGAGAAGAATGGCACTTTCAGGTCAAGAATCATAGCTAGCGTCGACCGCTCGTAGGTATGCCTTTGTTCCAGAACCTGTCAGAGGATGAAAACATGACCAGTCCACTCCCATCCAGATCTGAAAACTGGTTGGTTTTCTCGAGTTTGCTGTTATCGAGCTCCAGTTGGGAGTTGGGTAACTATTGACCCTACGATCTTGGATAAAATATTGGTCAAAATACTAGACAAATAGCCTTACAGTTGTTACAAGAAGATTTCTCTCCCTTCTTATAGATTCGAATGATCAGCAGCAATTTCCTATCTCCATCCTTGAAAACTTAGATAACGAACTATCAGGTCCTGCTGCTTTCCATCGTTTCAGGTTCCATGCAGCCTTCTCAACTTTAAGGAGATTTGGAGGACTGACATCAAGTCCCATTCAGGTTCTGGTTGGATGTTGGACCAGTGAAGCGTTGTTGTGGGACAGCTGAACCTCTTTCAGGGTGTTCAGTCTAAAATTCTAGCCACCTGTCCTGATAGGTTATCAGGACCATAGCACATCTCATATGTTATAGAATTCATACTTTGTATCATTCTAGCTACATTCGTTGGGTGTGTAGGCGGAGATTACAAATAGGCATCTGTCTGTCTCACGATCCTTCCTAGTGCTTACAGATCTATTCATTTAAACAGCACATAGACAGATGTTTACTGGAACCCTATCTTTGGGCTCATTTTCTGCTCTGCGACTTGATGCTATTCCTGCACCAGCAAAAGCATGAGTCTCCAGATACTCATGAGGTGAATTTTGAAGATTTACTACTATGACCAGGTGAGGGCAATTTAATAACCACACTCACGTCCTATATACGTGTCTCAGACTCACAGGACACATCCATGGCTAGAGATTCTAGATTTCTGTCGAGCGATGCTTGTTGTCTGATTTGGCAAGGAGTTGTGAAGTTGAAAGCTTCAACATTGAATTGATGACCGGGTCTTATGAGACTATAAATGAGGTTACGACGGATTTGATCGTTGGCAATTGTCATAGAGTTAGAGTTTGGGAAACAGGTAAGTGCTTTAATATTGGTATCGGGGGTAAAGGCCAAGTATGAAACAGAATTAAGAAGGACAAGTTATTTTGATTGGGTCTTGTGTAATACTGGAAGCGTGTGGTTGGCTGACGCTTCCCTGCTGCCCATAGCTCGGAAGACTATTTCTTAAGGTATCTGAAAGGGAAAACAATTCTTGTTACCACAGAACCCATGGGCTCTCTGCTTGAGGTCTGTTACAACCTTTTGCGGGTTGTTTTGAGGTTTAGTTGTTCCAACACCCGATAGATAGAACGCATACCCCCGCACTGGAAGACCGTGGGGCATGATGAGTGTATTGTTTTTGGAGCCAACCTTTTCTAATCGCCCCTACCATTAAGAAGGCAGCATCAGCATGACACTACTAGTCATATAAGGGAAACACCTTACCACTGTCACACCTCATCCAGCTAGCAGCGGTATGACTTCACCCTCAGACCCCCATCATAGTGTAGTAGTTTAAATTACAACGGTAATTACTTTTCGTTCCGCCACTATCCAACAGACGTTTTCGGCATGATAAGATTCTAGGGAACAAGCGTTGCGTTGGCATACCCCGTTGATTCATTATATTTAAACTCACCACCAAGTCAAGATAGCAGCCAGCGGCTGGAAAACTGTGATGGGGCCCAAAGGCTAAGTTATACTGCTAGCTGGGTGGTGTGTAGCAACAGTAAGGCGTTCTTCTTGGAGGATCAGCAGCGCAACACTAATGCTGCCTTACATTAGAAAACGCTGACCTCTAAAACAGCACACTTATCTGCCCTGCAGTTTTCTGGTGCCGTTGGTATAGGTTATTCCTATCCGTCTCTAGAACACTCAAATCTCATACCAAAAATCTTCAAAAAGGTGCATGACAGGTCTCAAGCGAATGTCCCATGATCTCTGTGGCCACACATTTTTTTCTTTCTGTAAACCTGCAGGAACGACTTCCGTGAGATAGGTAGCTAAAAAGTACCAAAAACCTGCACGCTTCCAGTAGTAAGCAAAACCAAGTCAAACACCACCCATCCTTCGTACCTCTATCCCCTCCTTTGCTTTCACCACCGGATACCAATATTAAGCCTCTTACAACTTCCTCAACTTCCCACTATGCTATCATTGTGAACAATTCAAACCAGCCCGAAACTATTCATAGTTTCCTAAAACTCCACTATCAGTATCACGTTGGAGCTCTGAACTTCTGAACCCTATGTCAAATCGAACAACATACATCGCTCGCCAGAACTCTGCGATCTCGAACCATAAATGTGTGTTGAGTTCCACAGACACGCAAATGTAACCTGAGTGTGGTTATTCCCTTTACCGCACTGGCCAATGTACTGAATGTACTTTTGTGAGTGACCAGAGATTCAATAACCAGCTCTCGTTAACTCACTGGTATAGGGATAGCATTAAGTTCACCAGCAAAAGCGTACTTCCCGACTGGAAACCAATCGCCAACCGTTTGTTTGGTATCCGACTGAAGAGTTGTGAGACTTGCCAATACCTATTCATGATCTCTGCTTACGCGCCCACTGACTGCTGTTCGCTTGGTACAAGAGATAGATTCTGACAAAAATTGTCACTTACTAAGGATAGCGAAATGTTCAGATGTAGTCAATGGCAAGAGACTTTAACGCTCAATTAGGAAAGCAGGGACAATAGGAAAAGCATCTGGGAGGTATCTAAGAAATCCATGCCATTAAACTGACTACGGTTACTGTCTGTTACAATTTCGCTCCCACAACCACTTGTTTCTGGCACTCACGCATTCTCACATGGCGTCTACGACATCAAACCAACGATAGAAACAGATAGATCACATTGCTATAAGCCGTCGTTGGTGAGCATCGGTGGATTGGCGCTCTTTCTCGAGTACGTGTTTCGATTCCAATTATGCGCTAGTACGAGCTCGTATATGTCTGCACCTTACTTGTGGCAGTGAAGCCTGTTTATGGTCGATTGGAAGATGAGAACGTCGAAGATGCATTCAAGGGAAGGACAGCTAAGCATTTATCTAAACGTGACACCAATGCTCATCTTGAGGAAAGCTGACCTGATACCAAGTCTACTGTGAAAACACGTGAAACGATTGCTAACCAACACATGAAAGTTAGCAAACGTCACTGGATCTCCGCAACTTCATTCGAACAGATTGATACGAAAAGGCTCATTTCAGTTTGTTCTGACTGCAACGAAGAGCGAAAGCAACTTAAACGTGAATTGAGAAATAGTCATCCGTCCAAATCAAAGTATGAGCAGGCATTACATGACTGTCCGAGTTGCCACACCTCATCCTAGTACATCAAGAAAAAGGCATTGAAGTGGAAGGCAAAGAATAGAAAATTGAGTCAAAAGAGATATAAAGTACTAAAAGAGAGAAAGGAAGAATGAGAAAATGGTGAGATTCGGTATGGCTTTCAGATGAGGATAATATGTGTATACATATGTGCCATTGACTCCGGTTCGGAACCATATCACCTAGAGTCAGTCTCCAACCACTGGTTTCTCTTGTCCCCAGACCCCAACTGGCTAGTCTGCATCTCCCCACATGGTTCAAACCAACAGTCAGAGACTTCATACATTGATGCCATGTTTTATTCTGGCCGCCTCGAGCACCTTTTCCAGCCAACCGTTGTTGGCCTTTCTCCTCTGTTTCCTTAATAAATCTGAACCGTCAAGTGTTACCAATCGCCGCTACCTATTCCATCTCTTTAAACTTCACTGCCCACCACCTTTGTGGTCGTTGCGTAAATTCTTTTTCAGTCTACTTTTGACTTGCGCTTGCTCTTCATTGTACTCAGAGCCTGCGCGGATGCGTTTACGTGCATCCGTTAATTCAGGAGAAGCTGCTGATATCCGCTGGCTCTTTATAGCCACTATTTTGGAGTCCGCTACGGTCTTCAGCTCTGTTTTTACAGCCGATTGGAGACCAAACCAAGCTTCTGGATGAGCGATAGTGTTCTGTTCCGATAACTATAGCCAATTCCTCACTGAAGATTGCCTTATTTATGATTATTATTTGATCCTTGGGTTCCTAGTGGAACATAGGGCTCCAGTAGCACGTCTACATTTCACTCTATTCTCTTCAGTCTTTCCAACCTGGCTCCACGACTGCCCAGAAGCTCTCATTTCTTCCTCACACGATCTCCTCCATGTCACCCTCACCTCGAACGCCCAACTCATCGTTTCCCCTTTGGGTTCCACTCGGGGCCCTGGCCTGACGCATGATGTCCCCAAATGGTCATCTCATTGTATGCCCAACCCATCTCCACTTTCTTCTGCATATTTGTTGGGTGATGGGTTGGTTGGTTGCCAGTCAGAGTTCCTTGTTACTTATTCCTATTATTGTGGCCATGTGATCTTGAGTATCGAGTGAGCGTAGGTGGTAGCTGTTGATGAATGTCAGTAGTTTGTTGGGAATGCTTTTCGTGACGCGCCAAGTTTCTGAATCATATAGAATCACTGACTTGACGTTGTAGTTGAGAATCCGGATCTTGTTGTTTATGCTGAGTGTAGTGTAGTGTAGTGTAGTGCAGTGCAGTAGAATTCCTCACTGATATCAGATTAATGAAGGCCTGTTTTGCTTTTCCGACCGTGGCTTTAACATCTTCATCTGTGTCTCTGCCGCCTGTAGTTGAAGCGATGCTGCCCAGCCTAGGTAGGTGGGTGAAAGAGACAACTTCCTTTAGGTTTCTCCCATTGATGGTGGTTGATGCGTGTTGTTTTTTTGTTGTTGGTTTGGTATCTTCATCAGCTCTGTCTTCTCTGCGTTCACCTAGAGTTCCGTCTTCGCTACCTCTTCTGTCAACTTGTTGGTTTTGCCTGTAGATCTTCGAGTTTGCGCGACATTGGACATAAATCACCATCGTTGGTGAAATCCGAATCTTCTTCTAGGGTCTTTGCATCGGTCAAACAGCGTATGCCCACCTTCTCACTCCTCACAGTTTGTTGCATGATCCGGTCGGGTCGGGTCGAGTGGAGTGGAGTCGAGTCGAGTCGAGTGAACCAGAATCAGGAAGTTGATGATCGGTGATAGTAGGTGGCAACATTGTCTTACTCCAGTTTTCACTTCAAAGGCGTACACTGAGCTTTCCATTGTGAATCACTTGGCATATGGTGTCGTCATATAGCTGTTGAATGAGGTTGATAAAGGTTTGTGGGACTGTAACCGTAGTGTTGAAGCAGGTGCCTGCCAAATTACCTGTCGGTCGACGCTGTGGAAAGGCCTTTTCAAAGTCGGTGAAAATGATGTAGAGAGTTGAGTGGCATTCTACGCTCTATTCTATGATGGATGGAGAGTTCACTTCCATTCCATCTGGTCTTCCAGATTCCTAGCACTCCTATGTCATATCTTCTCATTCTTTTGCAATCTGGGTAGCCTTGGCAGGCAACCAGCTTCAGACATTGTGTGGACATTTCATGTCTTTATGCTTACTTTTGCTTTCGTCGAGAGAGAGGAGAGACAGACATTACTTAATTGGTTTGTCGAAGGCTTTCAGAAACCGGTGTCATTTCGTCTCCGATTCCAGCGAGGGATAAGTTTGTTTTTATGTATTATATTTTCTTTGTGTTTTGAAGTTTGTGTTAGCGATTGGATTTGTTTTGAGGGTTAGGGTTGGAAGACCTATGCTCAACCTTTCCTCTTTATCCAGTCTTAGCCCGGCTACTAACCCGTGAACTAGTTAACCAGGAGAGGTTGAAGGCGGCCTTTATGCTCTCATTATTGACCTGCTCTCATAATGGTCTTGTTGCTTAAGTTTTTCTACGTACATTGAGATGCAGACGTATACATGCTCGAACCAACGCGTAGTCTATCTAAACGCATGCATCAGGAGGGATGGCGGTCTCCCACCAATCCTCTCCAGCAATGAATAATAGCAATGTGGTCTATCTGTGTCCATCGCTGAGTTGAGCTCAGTGGACATCATGTCAGACAATGTCTTTCTTTATTTCTGAAGTTTGTGCTAGATAGAAATAACCGGTTATCTGAGCACATTTGTATTAGGCGACCTCCGTTATCTGTTTGTTCAGTCGGGATTTCGAAAATGCCATCTAAATACCCTTCTGCCTCACTCAGCCTACCCACCTGTGCATTGAGATCACCTGCAACAACAACCACGTCTGAATGTTTGGCTATCGAAAGGAGGCTAGATAGTTTTCGGTAGAACTCATCCTTCAATTCATCCGAACTGCAGTCAGTGGGTGGGTAAGGAGAGGTTACAAAGAGACAACGGCGAGTTTCATTGTTCATTTTAGTTCTCACCGTGGCGTCAACCGGACAGCGTATAGTCGACTGTCGACTGAGACCCAGTCTAGTAGTCAGCTTTCTACCCTAGTGCTTAGTGCTGTAACAACCTCAAAGTCCTTCGAGTAAAGAGCATTCAATAAGGTGATGTACTTACTCGGCACGCCTTTCAGTGAGCGATGAATTCGAATGCCATCATCATGTTGGGAAATAAAACTATTGTCGAGTGTCGGTAAGCGTGCCAGTGTTCCAGAACCTGACGGAGTGTGAATATTAGGTTAATACACCCAGGGCCAATTTTGAAGCCTGTCTGGTATTCGCGTTTTCGCTGTTCCCGAGCTTGCACGCAGGTGCATTGCCACAAGTTACCAAACTTCACTGTAGTCCACAGCGAACAAGTGGATAAAGCACTGATATCAAAGTAGACAAAGTTGTATGAGAAAATGAAAAATTTGAAGATAATGGTTAGTGTAATTATTCAGGCTTTAAAATATATTGAGTGAATACGTTTGGGCCTCTGTGACCGATTTTAAGCATGTCGTCAAAAGTCTTTACCCACTGATTCATTTCATTTCGCGGACCCCAACCAGTCAGTCTGCATCTTTTACCCATGACTCACACCTCAGTTAGAAACTTCATGGACTGATGAAATATCTTAGTCTGGCCACCCTGAACCCTCTTCCAACTTAAGCCACCTATGTCTAGCGTCATATGTCCATTCGGTATTTGTCTTTTTATATCCACTTACTCTTTGCATGTTATTATAGTGTTGCAACCTGAACTAATGCACCTGTGTAAGGGGTTTTTTGTGTTTATGTCTATCGGTGTCTACGACAGTAATGCCAATTTAAAGCAGTGGCACTACCAACCTTGTGAAAAAATCGTATTACCTGTGTGATATTGTTGAAGTAACCACTTGAAGCAAGAAATAGTAACTAAGCTTAATTTTCTGTGTGGGTAAATTAATGTTTCTTAAGTGAGCAATGAATCATGTGTGTGGTAAAAACGAAGCTTTTAGTTTCTGAGTTTTGTTTGAATTTAAGAACTATTTTTAGGAATTTCAAGCTTCGGAGTTTTGAGTTACGGTCGGAATCAAGGTTCAAAATTACGTTTAAGGTTGTCAAATTATCCACAAACCATTCAAGAGCTAAAGATGTTACTAGTTAACTTCAACTTTAATATTGAGTTTCATGAGCAATAATTGTGTATTAACCTGGAATCTAACTTCCTAGACTTCGGGAGAGATAGCTGTGTAAGCATTTCACTGAATACGAGGATTAATTTTTCATATTCACTTTTGTTTTGATGTATTTTTTTGAAGAAGCTAAGGTTTTTAATTAAAAATGACTAAAGTGAATGTCAAGTCACCAAAGTGGTGTTTTGAGAATAACAAATAGGTGTTGTTTGACCAGTTTTATTCTGCAAAATTTTGTATACCACTGAAGTTAATTTCACTGATGAAAGAAAGAAAGAATAACCAATCATAGTCAGGATTTGGTACTACTTATGATAAATATATATTTTATTGGAATACCCTCTGCCTGTTTTTCTGATATAACGATTATGTTATACAGTTTCTTACATTTTCATCCCCATTTTGATCTCTGCAGTTACACTGCGTTTGTAGAATAAATGGCAAACCAAAGCACTAATTTGTCACAGCGTCGTAGCACAATAGTAGGAAACAGTGATCAGCAAGCTATGGAGCATAATACTCTTTGTCCTACTTCTTTACGCGCGGAGAACAATCCTCCTATCAGTTCATTCAATGGGCAAATATTTGACGCTTGCCGTAATGGCGACGTAGCCCTTGTTAAGTGTCTGCTTGAGACCGGAATCGACGTTAACCTCAACGACACATCTGGTCGAAAGTCAACACCTTTGCACTTCGCTGCTGGATACGGTCGTCGGGACGTTGTCAGTCTTCTTCTGGATAATAACGCAGATGTGTCTGCTAGAGATGAAGGAGGTCAGTTTGTTGTAAACCTTACTTTTCAAAACTTAGATGTCTCCAGTCCATCAACTGAAAAGGGGTAGTCATACTTTTTTCATGTAAAATGAAAGAGATGTCTCCCTTCGTTCTTGAAACTGGATATTTTGCACAGCCTAGTTTACAGTTTGGCATTCATTACTTGAATATTATTTATCAGAGAACAGACAGAAGGATGAAATCAACGTAGAACATCGCACACAGGTGCATTGCCACAAGTTACCACACTTCAGTACACAAAGAACAGGTGGGGAAAAAATGACGTTAAAGGAGACAAAGATGTGTGAGAGAATAAACAATCTGAAGATATTGGTTGGTGCAAATATTCAAGCTTTAAAATGACGCCTTCAGATCAAGAAACATAGCTAGCGTCGACCGCTCGTAGGTATGCCTTTGTTCCAGAACCTGTCAGAGGATGAAAACATGACCAGTCCACTCCCATCCAGATCTGAAAACTGGTTGGTTTTCTCGAGTTTGCTGTTATCGAGCTCCAGTTGGAGTTGGGTAACTATTGACCCTACGATCTTGGATAAAATATTGGTCAAAATACTAGACAAATAGCCTTACAGTTGTTACAAGAAGATTTCTCTCCCTTCTTATAGATTCGAATGATCAGCAGCAATTTCCTATCTCCATCCTTGAAAACTTTAGATAACGAACTATCAGGTCCTGCTGCTTTCCATCGTTTCAGGTTCCATGCAGCCTTCTCAACTTTAAGGAGATTTGGAGGACTGACATCAAGTCCCATTCAGGTTCTGGTTGGATGTTGGACCAGTGAAGCGTTGTTGTGGGACAGCTGAACCTCTTTCAGGGTGTTCAGTCTAAAATTCTAGCCACCTGTCCTGATAGGTTATCAGGATCACATCTTATTTTGGGTGTGCCTTTTTAAGCCTAAGTATTCCCCAGATTTTATCTGATGCCTCTCACTTTTGCTACCCAACTCTGCTTGCGATTATTCCGAAGACTGTTTCTCAGTTTACATTTAAGTTGCTTTCGCTCTTCGTTGCAGTCAGAACAAACTGAAATGAGCCTTTTCGCATCAATCTGTTCGAATGAAGTTGCGGAGATCCAGTGACGTTTGCTAACCTTCATGTGTTGGTTAGCAATCGTTTTCACGTGTTTTCACAGTAGACTTGGTATCAGGTCAGCTTTCCTCAAGATGAGCATTGGTGTCACGTTTAGATAAATGCTTAGCTGTCCTCCCTTGAATGCATCTTCGACGTTCTCATCTTCCAATCGACCATAAACAGGCTTCACTGCCACAAGTAAGGTGCAGACATATACGAGCTCGTACTAGCGCATAATTGGAATCGAAACACGTACTCGAGAAAGAGCGCAATCCACCGATGTTCACCAACGACGGCTTATAGCAATGTGATCTATCTGTTTCTATCGTTGGTTTGATGTCGGCAGACGCTATGGAGAAAGTGTCTCTTTGTGCTGAAAGTTAGCGCTACCGAGATGCAGGTGGTTGTCGGAGCGAAGTTGCAACGGACAATCTCCTTAGTCATTTGGTTGCCATAGAATTTCATAGATACCTCCAAGATGCTCTTGCCATTGTCTCTGCTCTCCCAAATGGGTGTTCAGGGCTGCTTCCATTACATCTATTTCTGAACAGTTTGCTTTGTGTAGCAAATTTGACAGCTGGTGATAAATTTCATCTTTGTTCCAGGTGAACAATAGTTAGTGGGTGTGTTGGCGGAGATTTAGAATAGGTATCTGTCGGTGTTACTATCCTTCCTAGTCCTTATAGATCCGTTTAGTCGAACAGACCTTAAAGGGCTGTTTTTCAGCGTTATTTCAGTATGAATTAGTTAGTTAGTCTTCTAATGGTTATTTGCGTAACTTGGGTATATATTTCCGTTGTTTTTTGTTTGAGAAAATCTTGAATGTATGCGAGAATAGGTCGATATTAATAATAAAAGCGTGAGAGGTCTCTATGAAGATAAAGTGTGGCAAATTACTAGGTCACCTAGATTTTCATAAGTACGTTTAAATTCCAGCTTTAAGCTTCGTTTTGAGGTGCCAAACGTTTTGTGACATATTTTTATAACCACATGATATAAAACTGCATTTTGTTAGTGATAGCCTTTGAATTTGAACTTCCTTTCTAACTGTTCTGCATTTGACTGCCAAATATATTAAAGTATTTGCCATTTATGGTTAGTGCGGGTTGATGTGTTCGAAGGCATTTATCATCATGAAAGTAAGCGTAAAACTTAACCAGTGGTAGAGTATAATTCCATATCAGGTTGTTCATTTGATATAGCACACAATGATACGATATTATTTGCTGAATGACGTTTCGAGTAAATTTTGTTCTTCAAATCATTTCAAAGCAGTCATACTATTTTCATCATGAACTGAGACCATTTAGAGAAACATTGAAAACCTGGAAGCACTGGACAGTATAGTCTCTACAGTTCAAGCGTAAAACTTGAAGGTCTGGGTTCACTTTTACTCGAGATGTTGATTTATGAAGCGATTATAATTCTCTTTTAATCATCGTTCTATGTGATGCCTGTCATGTTTTTGAACGATCTAATTATTCAGGTGACTGACAAAATTAATGTAGAACCTCGCACACCGGTGCACCGGCTCAATTTGCCACACTTCTCAGTAGTATATATATATATATATATATATATATATATATATATATATATATATAATCTAAGAATTCTATTGGTTTCTAAAATTTTACTGCTCAGTTTTATTATATGTGAAGTTTATAAATCTACATAAATATTTACATTTTTGCGTTTAGGTTTAATTCCTTTGCACAATGCATGCTCATTTGGACATGTAGAAGTAGTGCACCTGCTACTGTCAGCCGGTTCTGATCCTAATGCTGAAGACTGTTGGAATTATACACCTCTTCATGAGGCTGCGATAAAGGGCAAAGTGGAAGTTTGTATTTTGTTGCTTCAGGTATGTCGTGGTACATAAGAAGACTGGTCAACTTTCATTGTAGAAAAAAGCTAAATTTCACCTCCTCTTTACCATTTGCGTCTTACAATAAATAATTCCGTTTGTGGGATAGAAAACATTGTGTCTACTGAACTCTTGATTATACTAGTGGTATCAACTTACAAAATTAGTGGTTGCCTGGTGACAAGATTTTTACTTAGCACTTTAAGATGTGTCTATGCAATGATCACCTCTTTTGATCACATACTACCATATCATCTGTTAATTATGTATTGTGGCAGTCAAAATCGGTTTTCACTCGTTCAATTAGTCAGTAGTCATAATATGGGTTGCGGGTTTAAATTCTGCTCCACCTATCGGGGTTTGGCCAGCCAAGTAGTGTATCATTAGCCTTCACATAATAGGTGTGACTCATTGCCTACTGCACGACTGTCCACAAGGATACCGAGTGCATTTCAATTCTTTTTTCGTATGTGCGTTATTTCATTACTCAGAATGTTTAAAGTCTTCAACATGAAAGCCTATTAGCTGGGTTTTTAAGCTAGTTTTGGGGTAATCTTCATTTTTATCTAACTTATTAATTAGGTGTCGGAGAGAGATAAAGCTATACGGGTGTTAAGATTCACAAAATATTCTGTCTACTCTAGAGTAAACAATTTTAACGTGAGTATCACCAGTATGGAGGAACGGGGACACTCATTATCTAATAGTCTTACTTTGAACTGTAGGATGCCTATTTCATAGTAGATTACAAACTTGACCATTCTTGTGAGATTTGCAAACTCATTTCATTTTCTTACTTTTCATTTCCTCCTACATTGTTATGGCAATTTGGACAAGCCTATATTTGTAGTTGGAGTATAGGAATAAGCCAAGATTAAACTGGGTCTAAATTCTGTTCTAAAGCTTTCTAAAAACTGATTTATTTCGTTACTTTCATAGTATGTACAATATTTCTCTGACATTGTCTGACTGATCTAAAAGTTGTATAGTGTGTGAATTCGTTCTTTGTGCAATGCTATGTTGGCGTGTAAGTTTAATTGTGCACTTCTAAATGTCAAAAACCATAATATGTCATCGTCAATAAACTGCAGATATGTGTAAATCAAGCATACTGTATCTATATATGAAGCGCTATTTATGTGTGTTAAAAATAGGTGTTGGTGACTTCAGAAAGTAAATAACTACTGAGTTCGTAAATGGTTGAAATTACCGGACAAAAAATAATTCAACTAAGTAAATTATTTGTTCATATTTGATTTTTCAAGTTGTTACTAACTTACGGAGCTGCACACACTTCAGAACAATCTAGCACTTATTTTAAAGAGGAAATCAAAGTCGTCTCACGTGGAAGTAGTGCAAACTTTGGATTTTGATATGCTGGGATCCTCATAAGTTATATTCATGAAACATTTGCGCCTTGTGGGAGGAGTCAACTTATTATGAATACACTTCTAATTCGTTATAAGAACTTCCAACGAAATATCACAAAAATTAGGAGCTTATCACTGCGTAAATATTCATTGCTGATAATATATTATAATAAATCGACCCTCATGAAGTTTTATGTTCCCACGTATCTGAAGATATAAACCCGTTAGCTGCTATCTTGATGCGGTGGTCGGGGTTGTATTTCACGACGGCCCCACGAGCTATACTGGTGGAACGCTTGTTGCCTTTAGGTCCTACCATACCAGAAAGGTCTGTAGGGTAGTGGGTTAGACAAAAAGCAGTTGCACCTAACATATTCTTACACAATAAGATGGAGCATTATGATGGATTAGATCAGTCATCAGTAGTTAGTGGTGATCCAGAACCGCAGGACATGTATCTGTCTACAACTTCCATAATACAGGCCAATCGTCGTGACGTCAAAGTGGCCGTATGTGGCCGGCCTCTTGCAGATATCCACTGGCTCTGCGTTCACGTAATGACCCTTCTTTTTCAGGTACCTCAAAAAGACCTAGCTTTCCATAGTGTGGGCAGCCGGGAAGCGTCAACCGTCCTCACAGCGACCAAGTTCCCTCAGACCACTATTCACCTCCGTCATCCTTGCATTCTAATCTTCCCTCACGTCTCTCAGTTAACAATCGTACTTTATCTTTAATTTCTTCTGACTCTGCAGCTTTCGATAACGATCTGAGTCGACAGTACAGCAACCTTGGTTTCCCTAAACCACGCTCCAAACAACACATCGGGGCCTTCAATGTCCTCACCCTCCGTCAAATTGGTCAACAGGTTTCATTGGCCAAGACTCTAGCAACTCGGGCCATGGCTATGTGCTGTATTCGTGAGACTCGCATACAGGACCCAAGTGCGAATATTCACCTAACCTCTCCAGCTAATATAATGAATCCACAAAATTCACCAATCCAGTTTCTGGAGGTTCGTTGGCTACTTCTCGCGATCTTGCAGGTGTAGGCATAGAATTAAGCATTAGGGTAGAAAGCTGACTACTAGACTGGGTCTCAGTCGACAGTCGACTATACGCTATCCGGTTGAACGCCACGGTGAGAACTAAAATGAACAGTGAAACTCGCCGTTGTCTCTTTGTAACCTCTCCTTACCCACCCACTGACTGCAGTTCGGATGAATTGAAGGATGAGTTCTACCGAAAACTATCTAGCCTCCTTTCGATAGCCAAACATTCAGACGTGGTTGTTGTTGCAGGTGATCTCAATGTACAAGTGGGTAGGCTGAGTGAGGCAGTAGGGTATTTAGATGGCATTTTCGAAATCCCGACTGAACAAACAGATAACGGAGGTCACCTAATACAAATATGCTCAGATAACCGGTTATTTCTAGCTAGCACAAACTTCAGAAATAAAGAAAGACATTGTCTGACATGATGTCCACTGAGCTCAACTCAGCGATGGACACAGATAGACCACATTGTTATTATTCATTGCTGGAGAGGATTGGTGGGAGACCGCCATCCCTCCTGATGCATGCGTTTAGATAGACTACGCGTTGGTTCGAGCATGTATACGTCTGCATCTCAATGTACGTAGAAAACTTAAGCAACAAGACCATTATGAGAGCAGGTCAATAATGAGAGCTCTGAGGCTGCTCTCAGTGAAAAGTTGGCTTGACAGTTATTGGGACAGATCAATATCACTCATCCTGAAGAAGCTTGGTGCCATCTTTAGTTTGTTGTTGACACAGATTTGTTAATCGAACGCAGCTCTCCGAAGGTCATGGATATCATCAGCGTCCGACCTAATGGATGCATGCGAACTCATTTCTACACGCTCAGTGTACAATGTAGACTGACAAACGTCTACGCAGTGACAGCGAAAGGTGGTGGGCAGTTAAGGTTAAAGACAGTTCAGACTTATTAAGGAAACTGAGGGAAAAGGTCAACAACGGTTAGTGAGACTACAGTGGAGAACAGCGCGTCTACGATTCGCTCACAGAGGAAACGACTAGGACGATGGACAGAACACTTGAACTAGTCTCCAGCTACTGTTGCGTTGCCCGCTATCTAGTTGGATCCTAAATGTACATTAAGATAGGCCCACTAACACTTGCAAAAGTCAAGAAAGCTGTAAGTAACTTGAAGCGAGGTAGGGCAGCAGGACCAGATGGACTAACTCCTGAGGTATACAAGGATGGTGGTAGAGTGCTCTTAGTCAGGTTAACGGAAGTGTTAACTAGTATATGGGAATCAAATAAGACTCCCTCTGACTGGTCTAAATCACTGATTAAAGGGGAGGAGAGGTAAGTCAGTTGGTGAAGTTGAGAACCTTCATCGACTGAGGTAGTTGGGACATGTGTTACATATGCCTATTCGCCGTCTGCCTCGTCACACAATGCTGGCCGAAGTAGGTTCAGGCTGGAAAATGTGCTCGAGGCGGCCAGAATAAAACATGGCATCAATGTATGAAGTCTCTGACTGATGGTTTGAACCATGTGGGGAGATGCAGACTAGCCAGTTGGGGTCTGGGGACAAGAGAAACCAGTGGTTGGAGACTGACTCTAGGTGATATGGTTCCGAACCGGAGTCAGTGGCGCATATGTATACATATATTATCCTCATCTGAAAGCCATACCGAATCTCACCATTTTCTCATTCTTCCTTCTCTCTTTTAGTACTTTATATCTCTTTTGACTCAATTTTCTATTCTTTGCCTTCCACTTCAATGCCTTTTTCTTGATGTACTAGGATGAGGTGTGGCAACTAGGACAGTCATGTAGTAATGCCTGCTCATACTTTAATTTTGATAGTGATGATGGTATATTACCGGTAAAGTACATGCTATCGTAGAAATACATTAAAATATGGATTTCCAGATCATTTCTGTCACAGACTTAGTTTTCAGCCTCATAAATTTGATTTTCCATTCTGCATGAGGTCAGAAAAAGTGTACAAATTTTAACTACTATGAGGCAGTACGGTGAAATTTCCTCATTTTCTTTTGAAATCTCAACTAAGAACATTTCTAAAGTTTAATCGATCATATAACTAAAGTTGATAACGCAATGTACATATACCGGTGCTTAATCCTTGCTTTTCTTTATGTTTAGGCTAAAGCCAATCCTCAAGCTCGAAATTTGGACGGCAAAACTCCCGTTGATTTGGCTGAAGGTTCTGCACGTTTAGCTTTGTTAGGTGAATATCGTAAAGATGAACTTCTGGAAGCGGCTCGAAGTGGCAATGAAGAAAAACTCATAAGTTTGTTAACTCCACAAAATGTCAACTGCCATGCTGGAGACGGTCGTAAATCGACACCATTGCATTTAGCTGCAGGTTACAATCGGTAAGTAATGTATTACTTCCTCACTGAGATATTTACAACTCAGAAATCTAGTTTTTTCGTATTATTCGTGCTTGATGAGGCTACCAAATGAATGATATCGATATAATTTGTAGATTGCTAAGTATGAAGTCAGTTGATTAGGTTGTATGTTTTATCTTGTGAAATGACTGATATATTAGTTACTACGTGTAACGACTGTTTAGCTCAACGCGTAAAGTTAGCTGGGGAAGTCAGATACGAGGAAGCTCAGTTTAGTCGAACGAAGATTGTGACCTCAATTTGTAACTGCTGATATCAGCTGTATAGCATACTTTAAACTTTTCAACTGAAGTCGGCTAAAAAATCTGTGTTTGAAAACTTGCCAGTAGATATGGATCAAAATCAGTCTCATTGGTGCTAGCATATCTACACTTTATCTTGCTCCAAATATTATATATGTTATTCTGTCTGTTATTCGATATATCCACTTATTGTTTTCCTCGATACTACTGAAATCATTATCTTCATACTTTCAGACTCCTATCTATATGATGATGCGAAATATGATATGGTAGGCATTTACTTCTTGTCCTGTGTTACGAATGTATTTTTTGGTTCTTTTAGTAAGGAATCAGAAGCTGCTCTTAAGACTCCAGCAGATACATGTTGCCTTGAATGGACACAACATACTGAAGTTTGATATCATCGTTCATAAATAACCGAAAAAGTGATGTCCCTATTGCAAGGAACAAGTATCGTTTGCATTAAAAACGATTTCTCCATTACTAGGTCAAATTGCTTTGATACTGGGTGATGATTGAAGGTAAAATGAAAATTTGGACCGCAGCTGGATTCGAACTAAGTAGGAGCATCAGGCCGGAAACCCGGTGGCCGCTGGTTCGAATCCGGCCGTGGTTCAAATTTTCATTTCACTTTTAATCACCACCCATTAGAAATACTTGTTTGCCAAACCAAGGCTATCTCGGATAGTCAAAATGATAACCTAATTAAAAAGTTGTGTCAACCTTACTGGTATTGTTCATCAAACTTGATGGGAAGAGATGCAAGTTGTTGTTATGTAGTCATCTGTAACTATTTTTAGAACAACTTACCCAGTGAATTTTTTTATAAATTATGAATTTAAATTTCAAGAAAGTTGCTATATTCTTCAGAAATGAGTAAAATTATTTATTTCAATGAAACTATCCAACTACTGAAGTTGTTTTATAGTTTTAAAAGATAAATAAGGCTTGTTTGGTTGAAAATTTCTGTGCATAATATAAGGTAGTACCAATTTCCTTTCTGCAGTTTGTTAATAGTTTGTATTTATGCGTTTTCACTCCACTTCTCCTGATTATGTGCCTACTTTTCTTTACGTCTTCATTACAGTACGAAAATTGTAAAAATCTTATTAAAACACGGAGCTGATGTTATCGCCAAAGATAAAGGTGGTCTTATTCCTTTACATAATGCTTGTTCATATGGCCATTTGGATGTATGTGAGTTGTTAATTGGTGCTGGTTGTGGTTCAGCCCAAGTACATGCTGCAGATTTATGGCAATATACACCACTACATGAAGCGGCTAGTAAGGCACGTACTGAAGTGTGTTTCCTACTCTTGGCATATGGCGCAAATCCAACTCAACCTAATTGTCATGGCAAATCTGCACTAGATTTAGTACCCAATAATGATTTAAGACAAAGATTACTTTTCGAATATCGAGGTAAGCATTTACGATCACTTTTAAACAGTTTTACTTTTCCAATTTTTAAACCTATTAATAGCTATTTTGAATCAAAATTTGTATGCAACTGATGCAAATTCAACAAATTAATGTGAATCTATCGTGTTCCGTTAAACTGTTCGTTCTCTTTTTACCTAAACTTTCACTACTATTTGAGGATGCACTCGTCTTGATGCATCATTCATTGACTATGATTTTAATTTTATGTTATCTAACCGTATTCGGCATAGTGATTTTATCGACTTACCGCTTCACATTCAAAGAGACTTTTTTTACAGTAACGCAGTCATCTCTCTTATTCAACACCAAATTATCGACTTTTTAAATTCAGTAGTCCATTAAGTACAGTTAAGTCGGTTTCTTACGATTTGGATATCATGTATTTATGTTCACAGACTGAAATTGGTTTTTCCCTATGAATTTACATTTCCTTATTAGTAATAGTTTGTGTCATTAGTTGCTTAATTCTTAAAAGATGCTTTCGCAGGGTTCGGTTCAAAGAAGCATAGTAACTCTAATTACATCGTATAATTTAGATGTGGTCTATTTCATTTTATCACCTATGTACTAAGTGATTAGGTAATGTCTGCAGTATGCCTCTAATGATAACTTCAGAGAAGTCACATACTCCAATCTGAGCAACTGGGTAATATCACATGTCCCCGCACAATTTTTAAGCAAGTACTGGATAAACACTATCCTTACTAAGATCGTATGAATAACTGACTTATCAGATTCAAGTGAATGAAATAGTTCAGATATTAGTGCAGTTGAATGACTATCACTAAACCGTTTAGGACTCTACTCAAGGATTTTAGACAACTAATTGTGAGTTTATTTGTTCATAAACTAATTCATATTGAAAACATGAGATTTAATGATTTACTTATAATACCGACTGTAAGCGTACAGGCATGCAAATTGTGGCTGAATATAAAGTTATGGCCTTCTGTCGAATTGTGATGAGGGCTATCTTCGTATTTTACGAAAATTTCGAATCTATTTAGAACTAAAATATTATGTTACTTTTCGTCACGCTCATCGTAATAAAAAGATTGCGTTGTGAATAACTTCTATCCATGAAAACTTGAGCTCAGAGAGCAATAAAACTACCAATACGCTTTTGTGTATATTTAGAAGAATTGTCATCTGAAAGTACAATGTCCATTTCTTACGAATAAATCGTAATTGGTGCCAAAAAGGCTTTCAGCTTTACAAATAATTTTAATTGACAATTCTGTTTGTTATATCTATTCGTGATATTTCATTTACAAGACTGTTTACCAGTAATATGTTTATCTATATCTCCTCCTTTCCTAGGTTACCTTTTCCTTGAAGCTTGTCAGAATGTGGATGTTCACCAAATTCGAAAATTGCTCACCCAACCTACTGATACTGTAACAAATAATTCTTACTCAAATACATCATCATTACCAATTCACTTCAGTGTCCATTCTAATACATGTTCTTCCAGCCATAATGCGAAGTCTTCACAACAAAAACAATGCAGTATATCTGGAGTATCTTTTCCAAGTCAACATCAGGAGTCCATTCTGCCTATGCCTGTTCACGTGAATCATGATCTACTTCACTTCCGACATCCATTTATTGGTAACACTGCTCTACATGCTGCTTGTTGTGCAACTAATTCAGCAGAACAAAACGCTGCAAGAACATTCTGTTTCGGTTCAGGATCGTATCCAGGTTTTAATCCAATAGAAAATAAACACTTCGTGTCTCGCACACAGTATAGTACGGACACATCAGTCAACACAGCCAATCGTAATATCTCACCGGTTTTAGGCAGACAGTTAATTGAATGGTTTATTGATCAAGGCATCGGAGTTTCAGACTGCAATGTTGAGGGTCAAACTCCTCTCCATCTGGCTGCTCGCTATGGCTATCTCGAAGCAGCTGCTTGTCTTTTACGACGTGGAGCAGAACCAAATGTTGCTGATTGGCATGGTTTTACACCTCTACACTTGGCTGCTAAATACGGACATTCTCATATAATACAACTCCTAGTTCAAGGATTTGGTGCAGATTTAAGTTGTGCTACTATACCAGGTGGTCATACCGCTGCTTCTCTGGCTTCTACTGAAGGTGTTCGTCATCTTATTGCCGAATTAAGTATCAGCCCGGTGAATAGTTCTTTGACTTCACAGAAATCACCAACTGAAAAACATAACGAACCACATAGTTTTGCATCTCCTGTTCCAGGTAACCAACTTATTTACAGACGTACTTAAGAAATCAACTTGTGCTAGCTATTTATTTATTACAGCATTAATGTACACCTTCCGTAACAGCGGTCATCAAAGAATCATAATAAACCACCCGGTGACTGAAATATTCTATGATCATTTGGATACCTACTATTATTCTTATTTATTATTTCTCCCTTGGGTTCCTAGTGGAACATAGGGCTCCAGTAGCACGTCTACATTTCACTCTATTCTCTTCAGTCTTTCCAACCTGGCTCCACGACTGCCCAGAAGCTCTCATTTCTTCCTCACACGATCTCCTCCATGTCACCCTCACCTCGAACGCCCAACTCATCGTTTCCCCTTTGGGTTCCACTCGGGGCCCTGGCCTGACGCATGATGTCCCCAAATGGTCATCTCATTGTATGCCCAACCCATCTCCACTTTCTTCTGCACATTTGTTGGGTGATGGGTTGTTGGTTGGTTGGTTGCCAGTCAGAGCTTCTTGTTACTTATTCCTATTATTGTGGCCATGTGATCTTGAGTATCGAGTGAGCGTAGGTGGTAGCTGTTGATGAGTGTCTGTAGTTTGTTGGGAATGCTTTTCGTGACGCGCCAAGTTTCTGAATCATATAGAATCACTGACTTGACGTTGTAGTTGAGAATCCGGATCTTGTTGTTTATGCTGAGTGTAGTGTAGTGTAGTGCAGTGCAGTAGAATTCCTCACTGATATCAGATTAATGAAGGCCTGTTTTGCTTTTCCGACCGTGGCTTTAACATCTTCATCTGTGTCTCTGCCGCCTGTAGTTGAAGCGATGCTGCCTAGCCTAGGTAGGTGGGTGAAAGAGACAACTTCCTTTAGGTTTCTCCCATTGATGGTGGTTGATGCGTGTTGTTGTTTTTGTTGTTGGTTTGGTATCTTCATCACCTCTGTCTTCTCTGTGTTCACCTAGAGTTCTGTCTTCGCTACCTCTTCTTTCAACTTGTTGGTTTTGCCTGTAGATCTTCGAGTTTGCGCGACATTGGACATAAATCACCATCGTTGGTGAAATCTGAATCTTCTTCTAGGGTCTTTGCATCGGTCAAACAGCGTATGCCCACCTTCTCACTCCTCACAGTTTGTTGCATGATCCGGTCGGGTCGGATCGAGTGGAGTGGAGTCGAGTGGAGTCGAGTGAACCAGAATCAGGAAGTTGATGATCGGTGATAGTAGGCGGCAACATTGTCTTACTCCTGTCTTCACTTCAAAGGCGTACACTGAGCTTTCCATTGTGAATCACTTGGCATATGGTGTCGTCATATAGCTGTTGAATGAGGTTGATAAAGGTTTGTGGGACTGTAACCGTAGTGTTGAAGCAGGTGCCTGCCAAATTACTTGTCGGTCGACGCTGTGGAAAGAAGGCCTTTTCAAAGTCGGTGGAAATGATGTAGAGAGTTGAGTGGCATTCTACGCTCTGTTCTATGATGGATGATGCGTAGCGTTGCGATTTGTTCTTCTTAAATCCAACCCGTTCCGGTTGTAATTTTGAATGCATAGCATTTTTGAGTCTCTCTCTCCAGTATGATGCGGCATAATATTTTGCTTGGGGTGGACAGGGATGGAGCATGATTCCGTGCTAGTTTCTGCAGAGACTTAAATCGTCCTTCTTTGGGATTTTGACAAGGCAGCCCTTCTTCCAATCGATCAGCAGGTACCTTTCCTTCCTTCCTTGCAAACCTTCTGCAATAGGAGTGATGTGAGCGTGTCCGCTGTTGTCTTTGTGTCTGTTTTCAGTGCTTGTGGAGGAATTCCATGTGGTCCTTCTGCTTTCCTGACTTTCAGTAACTTTATGGCGTTTAAGACTTTACTTCTGCTTTTGTCGTAGGGCTTGTGTTCACTGGTAATTCTGTAGTTGGTGGTGGTATTTCTGAATGAGTTGTAGCTGGTGGTAGTGGTAGTGGTTGATGTAAGAGTTTTCTGAGGTGGTAGGTTCACTGTTTGGTTTGTTTCTCCTCTTTGGTAACTAGGTTTTGTTCACTATGTCTTATTGGTGTTGTCTGTGTTGATCTCTTCCCTCCCAGATAGTAACCTGGTTGTTTGATATAATGTTGTCAGGTCTATATCTCTCCTATCTGCAGCCTGTTCTGCTTCAGTTGCCAGTGTGTCGTAGAAGTGTGTTTTGTCTTAGCGCGCACTCTTCTTCACTTCTTTGTCCAGTGTAGTGTTTTATAGGTTGTATTCAGTTCCTCTTTTCGTTGTTCATCCCTGCACTGCCCTGCCCTGCACCACACTGGACTGAACTGGTTCATCTTCTACTTTGTCATTTTTCTCTCCCTCCTCTATCAGCTTTTATGTGGAGATCCGTGGAGATGCATTCGTTGTCCTGTTTCTTCTTCCTTCCTAATACGGTTATGCAGGTTTCCTTGCACGTCTCTTTCACAGGGTTCCAGTGTTGTTCCACTCAGGTTTCCTCGGAGCTGTTGCCTAATGTCTCCCATTTTGTCATGATGACTGGCTGACGTGAAGATGTTCATTGTAGTTTTGTACTTTAGTTCAGATTATGGGTGTTGAACTTGAACTGTTGTCTACCACCAGGTTCTGTGAATGCTTTCAACTTGATTTTGAAGGTAGGTTTCTTGCACTGGATAGTGAGTGGTGTGAACCTACATGTGCTCTTCTTCTTCTCGATCTTGTGTCCAGTAGGCTGGCTGCGTCTGCACCTTCTTGAGATTGAGATGAAGTCGATATGATTTTTGGTGTGTGGTGATGTCTTTTGAAATCCATAACGCTGTTGGGGACATCATGATAGGCACTCTAAAACCCAGTTTGTTGGTGGTTGTCGTCTGGGTGAGAATATGGGAGTAGATTATTGACTCTGCGGTTGACAGTTTGGAGAGTCCACTTCCATTCCATCTGGTCTTGCAGATTCCTATCACTTCTATGCTATATCTTCTCATTTCTTTTGCAATCTGGGCAGCCTTGCCAGGCAGCGAGCTTCAGACATTGTGTGAACATTCTATGTCCCTATGTTTACTTTTGCTTTCGTCGAGAGAGAGGAGAGACAGACATTAGTCAATTGGCTTGCCGAAGGCTTTCAGAAACCGGCGTCATTTCGTCTCTCCGATTCCAGCGAGGGATAAGTTTGTTTTTATGTATTATATTTTCTTTGTGTTTTGAAGTTTGTGTTAGCGATTGGATTTGTTTTGAGGGTTAGGGTTGGAAGCCCTATTCCTAACCTTTCCTCTTTATCCAGTCTTAGGACCGGCTAGTAAACTGGAAAGCTAGACTAGGTTTTGGATACCTATGTAATCTTAAAAGTACTGGTTTTGAGTTTGATGGGGAATGTAGTCGAAAGATAAGGTAAAATGTATAATTAACGGCAGTGTATGTGAATAATTAAGTCTACTTCGTTGTGTAATCTGCTGAACCCTTATTGGTTTGTGTACTGCGTTGTAAACTATATGTATTCTGTGAGCATTAATGGTATTAGATAATTATCCACCCTTGTCGAAGTGCCTGAAATAAGTTTGATTCCGTGTCATATCGACTGGTAGTTGAGTAACTTAACCTACTAGTCATGGTTCCACCAAGATGAGAGATAAAATAATGCAATGTTATGAACAAGTTCTGAGTGAAGTTTCGTGAAATAATACGTTTTGAAAGTATTTGAAGCTGTGCTTCTGTGTATTTTAACGCCCATTACGCAATATACATATAGTTGATTAAAAACTGGTTCGCATCTCTTTCATAGCTATGTTACTGTTTTGACTATAGAAATGTTAAATCTCAAATCTTTAAGCATATTTTGGCTGCAGTAAGTTAACCATAGTATCCATACAATAAATAATGTACATGTTTCAAAGAGTATACAGTACTTCAGAAAACTGATGTTTCTGTTCTCAAGAATAAAACAGCATAACATAGGTTGAGTAATATTGATCTTGGTGACTAGCAGAGGAATCCAGGACGCGCACTTCGTCCTATTTGGGACTCGTCAGCTTTATGTACATCCACCTGAGTGATTGACATTGTTCCCACCGAGGCTCGAAACCTGTACCTTTCGCTTCAAACGCCAATCGCGTTTTCCACTGACCCACTGGGGTATGATAACCACCTCTTGTGCAACGTGTCTCAGCTGTTGTAATGATACTTTTAATTTCCCGTTGCTATACAGTGCCGAATTGCTCTCATAGGAGCCCATCTGCCAACAGAGGTCGAACAATTTGACCCTGTATAGCAACGGGAAGTTACAAGTATCATTACAACAGGCTGAGTAAATTGACTACTCTACCTGTATGATGACTGGTAGTCGACAAAACTGTGACACGTACTCAGTTGGCGTTTAACAATTTCCATGTCTTTTATCCTTTTAGTCTCTGAGTACTGTTTTTATAATTTTTTATTTATTTTTGCTGATTAACTTTTGTTATACTGTGTTTTAATTTCCCAGCACTAAACACAGCTGTAGAGAAAGTTCAAGATGTAACTGTGTGCAGTCAACAACAAATTACTCCATTCTCAGTTTGTTCTGGTTCTCATTCACTGGACACTTCAAATATGTTTTTTGATGCTAAGTATTCTCAGAAACCTACTGCCAACAATGTTAGCAACAACAGTAATACTTCATCTTCGAATCGTAGTGCCACTGCACTTCCAGTTCCCAATACCGATTACACCCCTTCTCCTGGAAGCCATACCTGGGCAGATATAGTGTTACAGTTGTTGGAAGCAGCCAAGTCAGGTGATGTTGAGATGGTTCGTCGTCTCATTACAACGCATCATTACTCAGTTTGTCCGGATGGTGCTGCGAGTGAATTATGTAATGAGTCACCGGAGTCCTGTACAGCTTCTGGTTCTTTTGATTTGATAAATTGTCGTGATATTGATGGTCGGCATTCAACACCTCTTCATTTTGCTGCTGGATACAATAGATTGGCTATTGTAGAATTGCTTTTACAGTATAAGGCTGATGTTCATGCTAAAGACAAAGGTGGTTTAGTACCTTTGCATAATGCTTGCTCCTATGGTCATGCTAAAGTAAGCGGTTCAAGATTTTATCATTAAACTAACTTTTTTGAGTTATATACACTACAGTTTCTTATTTAACGTAATATATGGAGTAATACCGTCTTCCATAGTTTACAACAACTGCGACCTATTTATTGGGTAAAATGTATTATATGTTCCAACAATCCCGTGTGAATTTTCTGTTGCTACTTACGAAAACCATAAAGTACGTATCCATGACTCTGTGGCTAAATCAGGTCATGCATAGATGACCGAATTATGATACACATAAATATCTTAGTTGTGGAACCTGAAATCCGTTTATTTAAAAGCGGAAACATTCAGTTGACCGAAGAATATTGTTTCACTTCTGTAAATCAGTTGCAGTAGTTAACTCGCTTACTCACTATTCCGCGTATCTAAAATTTTTATACTTCTTAATTCTTGCTCCATCTGATAATAGATAATATGAACTATTATAGTCACAATCATTGCTGTTTTTGATTTCACTTTCTCACGCTTAAGTTTTGTTAATTTTATTGATATGCTGCGATCTCTATCAACGTTACTTCATCCTAAGGAATTTCTGTACAATGAAGTAAATGCTATGTGTTGAATATGCATATTGATACATTTGAGAGTGTGGATGAAATAGGTATAGAATGTGAAGTTTTTCTACCATGTAAGAGTCTTCCCTCTCTTGCACTAATCGAGTCTTGGGGCGTGGTATTATTGCATGACATTGTATATCAAAGCTTCAAGTCATTAGATAATTTTAATGTCATAAATGTCATAAAACAATAGTCCCTGCTATCCTGTCGAGTGAGTAGGTAACATTTCTCCTACCTATTGATTTTTAAATGCTTATTTTTAACGCATTCAGGTAGCCGAACAATGTGAATGCTACGCATGTCTAGTTACAATCTACTTTGTTGTTCAATGTTAGTTGAAGTAGGCCTAGGATGGAAAAGGTTAAAGGTTGGCAGTGTGTGTTGTCTTATGCATAAGTACCTCTTAGTTCAATATATATGTGTGACTTACATCTGGGATTCAAAGGCATTGGCAGTAATTGACGGTCATTGCAGTTATGCTCAAAAGGCTCATCAAAAAAAGTGTTGAATTTATATAAAACCTTAAGTGATTTCTTAACATGCTATTGAAAATACGTTATGGTACCAATTATGGCTTTCGTAACCGTTTAATTACGAAAATTTCTTGGCAGATATCTTGATGTCTGAGCGTTACGACAATAATAATAATAATTCACTTTATTCCAAACAATTTGTGGTACAATTTGGAATTCTCAGCGTAATATATATTGCAATAACAACAAAATATAAGTATATACATACTACTTTGCAGCCTTTGAATTGTTTTATTATAAAAATTTAAGTTATGTGAAGAATATTAAAAACGAGAAAATTTTGCATTGTAAGTTAAATTATTGAAATGAGATTTTTAACTGTCACAAAGTTGATGTGTGATTTCTGTTCTAACACTTTTTTCCTCACAAAAAATACGTGCAAGGTAAGGTACAGTCGAATTCTTATACTTAGCTGTACGAGCATACAGTCTTATGTAGTTTCTCCTTGTCCTCCCTGAGGAGATACATGGAGAGAGCTGTAAATGAAGTGGATGCTCACTGTCAGTTAAAATTTCTGTAGCTAGTAGCTTGCAGGAATTTATATGTCGATCAACTACAGTGTTAATCAGTTGAGCCAGAGACACACCACTCACCCTGCTGACGGTCTTCAAAGCCCTACGCAACATAACATAGTCCTTTTTAAGAAGACCAGGAAAGATTAATGGGGAACAATATAGAAGAATAGGTAAAATGCAGGAATTAATAAATTGTAAAAGAAGCAGTTGAGTTATACCAGAAAGCCTCAATTTCTTTACGTAATAAGTTAAACGAAAGATTTTTTTACAAGTCAATAAAATATGGGACGACCAACAAAGGTCAGAAGTAAAACGCAACCCAAGATAGTTCACACTCGATTTACTTTCTGCAGAAATACCATTGATGCAGCAGGCGTCATGAGATTTAAGCAGCTCACATAAGTCTTGTTTACGCCTGAGGCTAAAATTAACGGTCTGACATTTAGAGGGGTTTAGTTTGAGACCATTTGAGAGAGACCATTTACCAACTTCAGACAAGAATTCATTTAATTTCGAGCAATCCAAAGAAGAGTTTACTGGAATAGAAATCGTCAGGTCGTCAGCATACTTGATAAAATTAGTTTCAACAGAATAAGGCAAATCGTGCAAAAAAAGGAAAACAGAAAAGGAGAAAGTACAGCACCTTGAGGCACACCAGCTTCAGTAAGCAATGAAGTGGAGCGCATCCCTTTATGAATAGTGTACTGTTTCCTTTCAGAAAAATAAGAATGCAGCCATTTTGTAACCCATGGATCAGTGTGAGCTATGGCAAGCTTATTTAACAAAAGTGGTCTAGGAACAGAGTCAAAGGCTGATGAGTAATCCAAAAAGGCACAACGGACATACTTAACACCTTTGTCGAGACTAGAAACAATATTATGATGCAAGACAGTAGCTGCATCTAAAGTACTCCTCCGGTGTTTGTAAGCAAACTGTTTTGGATCTCTGAAGGCCATCAATGAAGGCTCAATCACAAGCAGAAGTAATTTCTCCATTGTCTTCAGAAAAGGGGAAGTTATAGCGATGGGTCGAAAAGTAACATCTGATCCAGAAGATGGCTTAGGCACAGGTACAATTTTTATCTGCTTCCAAGCAGTGGGTATTATGTTTTTAGAGAACGATACATTGAAGATATCTGTAAGTGGATGACACAAAATATCTGCACATTTTCTAAATATGATACTAGAAACACCATCAGGACCTAAGCTTTGGGAGGGATTCAAAGACTTTAGACATTTAAATACATCATTTGTATTGAAACCTGGAAAGCAGCTATCCACTTGATTTTGCACATTAGGAAGGGTGAAATTAGCTTGCCGACGTATAAATGACTTGTTTAACGCGCAGACATCCGAACGAGTTTGTGTTGTCATCTGTTTTTTACCAGTAAGCTCTTTAAATAATTTCCATATATTGGAAGAGTTCTTACACGATAAGAACTTCTCGTTGTATATAGTATTCAGACGTTGTATTTCAGACTTAATTAGGCAGTTAAGCCTTTTAACGCCAGGGTGATCTCTCGCCTTATACAACCTTTCCTTTTCTCTCCGAAGCCTCTTGAGATGAGGAGAGGAAAGTCTGTCAAATCTCATGTAAATTGTTTCAGTAGGGCAGCAGATATCGAGACAGAATCTGAGATAGCTTGTGATATTGGTAATAGTGTTGTCTAAAACTTCATCAGCAAATATATCCCAGTCCGTTTCTATAAGCATGCTTCTCAAACGTAATATATTTTCTTGTGAATAGCATCTGTATTGAACTTTCCTTGAAAGGTATGCAAAAGCTTTCTTGTATAATTTTCCGTACACTTTAGGCAAAACACGAACGATACAGTGGTCGGAATTAGCAGTGGAGCCCGTTTACGGGCTTCATATATGCCAGGTTCATTTGTAAATGCAAAGTCTAAGGTGTTGTCAAGACGAGTGGAAAAGTTAACCATATTTTTATGACCCAATGATAATAGAAAACTGTAGTCACATGAGTTAAAATCACCACAGACAATAGACAAGGAGTTTCCCAGAACCGGAGCAGCAAATTCAGTGAATTTATCAGCAAAAGTTGACAAATCTGAGAAACTGCAGTCAGGTGTGACATACATGTTTGTGATATATATATATTTGTATTTGCTCAAATGTTTGGGACGACATTTGATGGTAATGCACTCAATTTTTTCGTTAGAGAAGCAGAAGCATACATAGTTGGAGGACGACCAGTTAGTACTAATAAATGTTGCTACACCACCACCACATTTCTTCTTCGAAAAGCTTCGATCTTGTCGAAATAATTTGAAACCATCTAAGCAGACTAAGTCATCATCATACAGATTATGAAGCCATGTTTCCTGCAGCATTATTACACCCGTGTTTCGATAAACATTTGTGGACAAGAGTGACTGAAGGTAATCAACTTTATTCGGCAACGACCTGCAGTTTGTGCTAAGTATTTCCGGAATAGTCATTTGATCTATGGTCATACGCTTCAGAGCTCGTTGCCATCCACCGTGGTGCTTCTTCTTAAATTTCCTATCAACTTGTGAAGCGATAGGTTGTAATGATTTTAAAAAGGCGCGAGAATATACAATACGATTGGTTGACATAATTAAACGATTAAAACAATATACAAATAAGAAATTTGATGCAATATACTCGATTACTGAAAACGGTAGCCCAGAGTTCAAGCAGGCCGCCATCTTTAATCGTCACGACTATCTTTGACCTTGTCCTATGGCTTACAGTATGCTTATTTCAATGTATTACTAACCAGTTAAGTATGTCGCCAGTAAATGAATTTGCATCCATACTACTGCCCCTGAAGTAAAGTACTGCTGTTCCTTGAGACGGTTTCTCGAGTACTGGTGATGCAAATTTTCAAATTTCGTTTCATATTTATCGGTAAAATAGAAGTGAAATGAAAATATTCAATCCTTGACTTGCTTCACTCAGGATACTCAGTTTATTTGTATAGCTCCTACGTTTGTTGATTTCAATTCCGCATAATGCTTTATAGATTTACTTAAATAATGTGCTTATTTCATGGTTTCCCTTCTTCTATACTAGTACTTGAGCTTTCCCTTGTCTAATTCATTGTTCGAGGTCATAAGTGTTGATATATCTCGGGATCAGTTTAGAAGACATAATTCAGAAATAGATTATTGATTAGCGCCTTTTCTTTTTGTCCATTTATATCTTCATAATGATTTTGTAGCCTTTTATCTCATGTATATCTCGGTTTTCAATTTGTACCGGGTTTTCATTTCAATAATGACGCTTAAATCCATGTCATTGATTAGGAACGATGCGTTTCAACCGTTGAATGAATTTTCCGCTCATCATTAATTAATGCGGTTTCACATATAACAACCAGTAATTATCAGAAATATTTGTTATGGTATCTTCATGTAATTATGGATTCTCTTTGCTTCTACTAGGAGATCAACTGTCTATAAATTTTGTCTGTTTAAGTTCATTTAGGGTACAACTCCCTTAAAGTCGATCTGCAAAGGATTTTAAGTGCCGATAATCTACTGGTAAAACACTTCGTTAGGTTTGTATTGATTCTAAGATTTAGATGTAAACCAAAGGCTCCTCTTGGGTGAAACTATACTCAGCACGCAACTAGTCCATGCATGTTATGGTCTTCCGATCTCAGTAATCCTGAATTGCAAGCATTTGAGGTAACGGCAGCTCTTACTGTTATATCTTACATCAAGATTTCGCTGTAGGGTACATATCCTTGGTTGTATTGTGTTCTCTGAGCTGGGTTGTTTAATCGTGAAGCTTTCATCGCCTTGCTAGACGACATCATCAGCACTAACTTCAGTATGAAGTGAGCTGTCAGTATCTCTCCATGAGCGATTTAGTAGCTTGCTCTGACGATGTGGTCTGTGATTGGTTGTTTCCTTCGATTGTTGTGTCACTGATTGTATAGACTTTACTGTTGGCTGTTCCTCTGCTTCACCTCTGACCTTTCTGTTGTTTATCATTTTTCTTATTGGTTGATAGATCGGGTCTATGTCTATACATTTATTGATTGCTGACTGACGTGAATGCCAAGCTTCTAGAAATTCTCTGATATTCTTTGTGTTTCCTCTGTCCAAAATTTCTACATTGTCGAAATTGAATTCATCTCCACAGTTGTTATCCACGTGCATTGAAGTGAGTGACGAAATGTCGTGGCGTTTAATAGCCAATTGGTGCTCATGTAGACGAAGAGGGCGGCCCCTTTGTCCAATGTAGTGCTGACTACAGTTATTGCAGTTGATTTTGTAAATGATATTCGGTTTGTCTTCTTTGCTTGTTGCATCCTTTGGCCTGCATAGTAGTGTTTGGAGGGAATTTGTTGGTTTATGAGCCACACCAATTCCAAGTGGTCTCAGCAATCTTGTTGTGATTTCTGATATATTCTTTATGTATGGTAGGACGATGCGTTTGTTGATTTCTGTCAATGACTTTGTAGTTGGTGAAAATATTAACATAGAAAACGATGAATTAATGATATCCTTCAATGTTACAGCACTATACACATCCATCGAACCTCAATTAGCCAAGAAAACGATATCCCTGCTGATCAATGAAGACAAAAACCTTTCAGAACGCACAAAACTCAAATGTTCAAGTCTGATGGAACTCATCGACTTTTGTATGACAACATACTTTCAATTCAACGACAAGATATACAAACAGATTAAAGGAACTCCAATGGGATCACGATATCCGGATTAGTAGCAGAAGCAGTGATGCAGAGACTGGAAGCCATTATTCTGCCTGTGTAGACGACACTTGTCATCATTGAAAAGAATCATATGGAAAACACCCACAGTTTGATCAACAACGTTTTCAATGACATCAAGTTCACAATGGAGAAAGAGTCAGACAACCAACTACCATTCCTGGATGTTTTAGTCAGCAGGACAAATGCTGGAAAGCTGGAAACCCAAGTGTACAGGAAGCCAACACACACTGACCAAATCCTCAAGTACAATAGCAACAACACACAAAATCAGTTGCTTGCAGACTATTCAAAAGACTGAAAACACACTGCAGCACAACAACTTCACGGAGAAACGAAGAAAATTACCTGATGTCCACCCTAAAGAAGAACGGCTACCCACGAAACTTTATCAGATGCCTATCCCGTGCATCACCAACTACAAAGTCATCGACAGAAATCAACAAACGCATCGTCCTACCATACATAAAGAATATATCAGAAATCACAACAAGATTGCTGAGACCACTTGGAATTGGTGTGGCTCATAAACCAACAAATTCCCTCCAAACACTACTATGCAGGCCAAAGGATGCAACAAGCAAAGAAGACAAACCGAATATCATTTACAAAATCAACTGCAATAACTGTAGTCAGCACTACATTGGACAAAGGGGCCGCCCTCTTCGTCTACATGAGCACCAATTGGCTATTAAACGCCACGACATTTCACGATTAAACAACCCAGCTCAGAGAACACAATACAACCATGACCATCCACCTGAGCTACAAATATTCTCCATCATTTCAGGGTACATATTCTTTTTACTGCGTTGAATTTCAACTAACGTTTTCGATCCCCTCTACACAATGAATTTTTTTGAACTGTTGGTTAATATCATCAGGGTATTCTAAAACTGTATTTTGCTGCCGAAATTTGTTGAATTCGCTCATCTTTTCTCCCACTTTTGACCTTGTCGGTGCATTGCATTGTTGATTTCCACCTGTTATTTTGAAAAGTTCTGTCTAGTTTTATTATGTAGGAGACTACTTTGTTTGGTTGTATAAAATAATCTAAGAACTCTAGTTTTGCTATTATTATTATGATTATGCTTTCGACCGTGCATGATACTTTAGTCCTGGTAACTAAACCGAACACTGAAGAGAATGTAAGTAGTATATCTGTGCGTCAGTTCATAAGTAGTATGATAGTAGGTCTAAGCCTTATTGCGTTGTAGAAACGGTTGAATGCACTGAAGTTTTCGCTGACTGTCGTGTATGTTGGTATCCATCTAATTGGTCAAAAGCTGGAATTTATTACAACTAATCGTAGCGTTGTACTTTCATTCTTTTTAAAACTTGTATAATCAAGGAGAAAGCGAACGACGGTATCAGATGCTTCATTTTTAGGAGTACATCCTTCTCTTAGCTCATTGTTTTAATCAGAAGTGGACAGACGCAGAAACTTGAATAACTCGGGGAGTCAGAATTTGTTTTTGATCAAGACGCTGATTATCCGAAGACATCATTAAAAATTAATTTTGTCAGTCTTCATAAAAAAGACATAAATTCAAACACACCACAAAAAAACATTTACTAACTAGGTCCATATTCATATCGATATAAACACAGTTTAGCTTGAATTTAAATTAATGTTCTTCTTTTTCCAAGGTTGCAGAACTTCTCATTCAACATGGAGCAAATGTTAATGTTACCGACTTGTGGCGATTTACACCTCTACATGAAGCTGCAGCCAAAGGCAAGTTCGAAATTTGTCGGTTACTGCTCAAACACGGTGCTGATCCACTGAAAAAGAATCGTGATGGTCATACTCCGATAGATTTAGTTAAAGTATGTTTTAAGTGCTTTTCGTAGTGTTATTATTATTTGTCTCTTGGGTTCCTAGTGGAACATAGGGCTCCAGTAGCACGTCTACATTTCACTCTATTCTCTTCAGTCTTTCCAACCTGGCTCCACGACTGCCCAGAAGCTCTCATTTCTTCCTCACACGATCTCCTCCATGTCACCCTCACCTCGAACGCCCAACTCATCGTTTCCCCTTTGGGTTCCACTCGGGGCCCTGGCCTGACGCATGATGTCCCCAAATGGTCATCTCATTGTATGCCCAACCCATCTCCACTTTCTTCTGCACATTTGTTGGGTGATGGGTTGTTGGTTGGTTGGTTGCCAGTCAGAGCTTCTTGTTACTTATTCCTATTATTGTGGCCATGTGATCTTGAGTATCGAGTGAGCGTAGGTGGTAGCTGTTGATGAGTGTCTGTAGTTTGTTGGGAATGCTTTTCGTGACGCGCCAAGTTTCTGAATCATATAGAATCACTGACTTGACGTTGTAGTTGAGAATCCGGATCTTGTTGTTTATGCTGAGTGTAGTGTAGTGTAGTGTAGTGTAGTGCAGTGCAGTAGAATTCCTCACTGATATCAGATTAATGAAGGTCTGTTTTGCTTTTCCGACCGTGGCTTTAACATCTTCATCTGTGTCTCTGCCGCCTGTAGTTGAAGCGATGCTGCCTAGCCTAGGTAGGTGGGTGAAAGAGACAACTTCCTTTAGGTTTCTCCCATTGATGGTGGTTGATGCGTGTTGTTGTTTTTGTTGTTGGTTTGGTATCTTCATCACCTCTGTCTTCTCTGTGTTCACCTAGAGTTCTGTCTTCGCTACCTCTTCTTTCAACTTGTTGGTTTTGCCTGTAGATCTTCGAGTTTGCGCGACATTGGACATAAATCACCATCGTTGGTGAAATCTGAATCTTCTTCTAGGGTCTTTGCATCGGTCAAACAGCGTATGCCCACCTTCTCACTCCTCACAGTTTGTTGCATGATCCGGTCGGGTCGGATCGAGTGGAGTGGAGTGGAGTCGAGTGAACCAGAATCAGGAAGTTGATGATCGGTGATAGTAGGCGGCAACATTGTCTTACTCCTGTCTTCACTTCAAAGGCGTACACTGAGCTTTCCATTGTGAATCACTTGGCATATGGTGTCGTCATATAGCTGTTGAATGAGGTTGATAAAGGTTTGTGGGACTGTAACCGTAGTGTTGAAGCAGGTGCCTGCCAAATTACTTGTCGGTCGACGCTGTGGAAAGAAGGCCTTTTCAAAGTCGGTGGAAATGATGTAGAGAGTTGAGTGGCATTCTACGCTCTGTTCTATGATGGATGATGCGTAGCGTTGCGATTTGTTCTTCTTAAATCCAACCCGTTCCGGTTGTAATTTTGAATGCATAGCATTTTTGAGTCTCTCTCTCCAGTATGATGCGGCATAATATTTTGCTTGGGGTGGACAGGGATGGAGCATGATTCCGTGCTAGTTTCTGCAGAGACTTAAATCGTCCTTCTTTGGGATTTTGACAAGGCAGCCCTTCTTCCAATCGATCAGCAGGTACCTTTCCTTCCTTCCTTGCAAACCTTCTGCAATAGGAGTGATGTGAGCGTGTCCGCTGTTGTCTTTGTGTCTGTTTTCAGTGCTTGTGGAGGAATTCCATGTGGTCCTTCTGCTTTCCTGACTTTCAGTAACTTTATGGCGTTTAAGACTTTACTTCTGCTTTTGTCGTAGGGCTTGTGTTCACTGGTAATTCTGTAGTTGGTGGTGGTATTTCTGAATGAGTTGTAGCTGGTGGTAGTGGTAGTGGTTGATGTAAGAGTTTTCTGAGGTGGTAGGTTCACTGTTTGGTTTGTTTCTCCTCTTTGGTAACTAGGTTTTGTTCACTATGTCTTATTGGTGTTGTCTGTGTTGATCTCTTCCCTCCCAGATAGTAACCTGGTTGTTTGATATAATGTTGTCAGGTCTATATCTCTCCTATCTGCAGCCTGTTCTGCTTCAGTTGCCAGTGTGTCGTAGAAGTGTGTTTTGTCTTAGCGCGCACTCTTCTTCACTTCTTTGTCCAGTGTAGTGTTTTATAGGTTGTATTCAGTTCCTCTTTTCGTTGTTCATCCCTGCACTGCCCTGCCCTGCACCACACTGGACTGAACTGGTTCATCTTCTACTTTGTCATTTTTCTCTCCCTCCTCTATCAGCTTTTATGTGGAGATCCGTGGAGATGCATTCGTTGTCCTGTTTCTTCTTCCTTCCTAATACGGTTATGCAGGTTTCCTTGCACGTCTCTTTCACAGGGTTCCAGTGTTGTTCCACTCAGGTTTCCTCGGAGCTGTTGCCTAATGTCTCCCATTTTGTCATGATGACTGGCTGACGTGAAGATGTTCATTGTAGTTTTGTACTTTAGTTCAGATTATGGGTGTTGAACTTGAACTGTTGTCTACCACCAGGTTCTGTGAATGCTTTCAACTTGATTTTGAAGGTAGGTTTCTTGCACTGGATAGTGAGTGGTGTGAACCTACATGTGCTCTTCTTCTTCTCGATCTTGTGTCCAGTAGGCTGGCTGCGTCTGCACCTTCTTGAGATTGAGATGAAGTCGATATGATTTTTGGTGTGTGGTGATGTCTTTTGAAATCCATATCGCTGCTTTGAGAGCGTTTGTTGCTGTTGGGGACATCATGATAGGCACTCTAAAACCCAGTTTGTTGGTGGTTGTCGTCTGGGTGAGAATATGGGAGTAGATTATTGACTCTGCGGTTGACAGTTTGGAGAGTCCACTTCCATTCCATCTGGTCTTGCAGATTCCTATCACTTCTATGCTATATCTTCTCATTTCTTTTGCAATCTGGGCAGCCTTGCCAGGCAGCGAGCTTCAGACATTGTGTGAACATTCTATGTCCCTATGTTTACTTTTGCTTTCGTCGAGAGAGAGGAGAGACAGACATTAGTCAATTGGCTTGCCGAAGGCTTTCAGAAACCGGCGTCATTTCGTCTCTCCGATTCCAGCGAGGGATAAGTTTGTTTTTATGTATTATATTTTCTTTGTGTTTTGAAGTTTGTGTTAGCGATTGGATTTGTTTTGAGGGTTAGGGTTGGAAGCCCTATTCCTAACCTTTCCTCTTTATCCAGTCTTAGGACCGGCTAGTAAACTGGATAGCTACGCGAGATTCTTGCATGGTGTTTTGTATATAGATGATGAGCTACACTTTGCGTAGTGTTACTCATCCTGAATGTGTGTGTATGTAATTTTCATGTAGAATAGATAGTCAAGCTAGTTTTTGCGTATGTTAGTTATAGTGAATGTTATAACATACTGTTTTCACTGCTATGATTACAGAATCGAAGAGGAAACGGAAATTTCTCTTTCTTGCTCAATTACAATGTAAAATGATTCTTATGCTATGTGTGTTGATAAAAAAAATAGCGAATTTTCTTATATTATTAAAGAATTTCCTTTTACCATCATTAAATCTAGTACTCTGTTTTATCTACTGATCATTGTTTAACAGTTGTGAGCGCATCATTGGGTGTTTCATATATTTTTTGATTTCAATAATGAGAATTAAGGTCTCTTCAGATGTTGTGGGAATAGTAAATAATTCTCTTGTTTAGTATTTTTTATGAATAAAATTTAAACTGGTCATCTTGGATTCACAACTGACAGTTTCGCACTTTTCCTGTAGATTATTTCAGGCTCTACATCGTCAAAGTAAATACCTCAGTCTTCATAGATATACTCTAAAGTATTTCAGTACGTAATCCGAGAAATCACGTTGTGTTCTGAATAGGAGGTATGAAAGATAAGCCATTTTGTATTCTAATTTTTTGTGTATAATATTTGAACGATGGGATACTTCCTGACTTTCCGAACATACATTTTTTCGTTTAGGATACAGAGAGTGATGTTTACGACCTGTTACGAGGCGATATCTCTGTCTTGGAAGCAGCTAAGAAAGGAAATTTAACTAAAATAAAGCGCTTAGTAACTCCGGAGAATATCAACTGTCGTGATACACAAGGAAGAAATTCAACTCCACTTCATTTAGCTGCAGGTTATAATAATATTGAGGTAAATTGACCGCATTTCAAACAAACATTTTTCAATGTCTATTCAATTTCTAATCATTTATAATGGTTGATAATGACATTTCCTGTGAGTTGTTTTCATAGATATTAATGAACCTTGTAACCTTTCGGTTTGTAAACGTCTTCGCACAAAATTCTAGGTCTCATTCTCTCTCTCTCTCTCTCTCTCTCTCTCTCTCTCTATATATATATATATATATATATATATATATATATATATATATATATATATATCCTTTCTTACGCAATTGCCCGATTTCTCTTTAGGACATTGTTAACAACTCAAAAGTCCCGTAAGTTGTACAGTAAAAGTATCTTTCATATAACATACTTGAACCGTCATTCCAATAAGCTAAAACCAAAGAATATAAGTGAAAAACTTGGGCACTGTGGTAGAATGTAATTCCATATTAGATTTGTTTATTTGATATAAAACGCACAGTGATACAGTATTATTTACTTGATTACGTTTCGAGCATAAATTATTGCTCATAATCATATGAGCAATAATTTATGCTCGAAACGTAATCAAGTAAATAATACTGTATCACTGTGCGCTTTAAAACCAAAGAAGTTTGTTTGTGCCGGTTATGATAACTTCTCACTCAGAAAGCTTCACATAATTGTAGCTATGCCAAGTGACTTCTGCAAGTCTAACCAACAAATATTAGGAATTTTAGCTGACACACGTTGTGACTGAAACTATTACGTAATTCATCTGAGTTGACTGAAACGCTCTACTTGTGCATAGTATTTTCAATATGATATCAACTTCAATCCAAATATTTATGGAAACAATGCTAAGAATGTAAACATGTTGAATTTCTGTGCAGCGTTTGAACTTTTACTTAGAAGTACTGAAATTACATTTGCAAGACAATAAAAACTACATAATCTGCTGGTGAAAGTCAGTGAAAAGCAGCACCAGATCAGCACATGAAAATAAGTCACTTAGTTCGCTTATGTTAAACAAGGTGAAGAAAATTGTCATGGATCAAAACCCACAAAGCACTCAACGATGAAAGCATTGATCAGGTGGTAGGCAATTTTACTACGTCTAGACAACCAAATCCAAATGAAATTAACCAGTGAGAACAAACCTGGTGAAATCACAAGAGAAAAGTAGTGGCAAATAAAGACAAATGATCCAGTTCTAGTTAGATTCTCTGGTGGACCAAAAATACATAAAACGCATTCCATTACCAACAATAGACCCACTTCCAAGAACGTCATTCAGTTTATCAAACGAATCATAGAGAACACTAAAACATCTTATCGATAGAAGTCAAAGCTAAGTCCTTTCAGCAACTCACTTTCTGCAGAGAATAAATGACTTCGAGATAGACAACGACAAAAAATGGTATCATTCGGTGTAATTGTACTTTTCACGTCAGTCGACCCAGAAACAATAAAAATCCTTCCCAATAGTAACTAAAATCTTCAGGCGTATACGAGAAGTTACGACTTCAAATGTAGTGGAACTAATCAACCTTTGTTTTTACTACGTTCTTTCTCTCCTGCGAACGAACAAGAGGCACTGTTATGGGTTCATCAATATCCATATGTGGAACGATACTAATAAGAATGTATATAATTAGTGTATAGCGTATTATCGAGATGTATAAGAAGTGATAGCAATCGAATGGTACTGATTCGGGAGGTAGAACAGATGATGGGACCCTATTAAGGAAGACAGCGTACGGATCAATTTTTGAACAATAGTAGTAGTAACTCAGTGTTTCATAAGAAGAATTGTGTACATGTAATATTCACATATGTATAAAATGGTTCATGGTGAAACTGACTCTTATAACCTATGCCATAGTTGAGTTGACAGCTTGTTTCATTTATTTACTCTTTTTCAACGTTAGGTCTTAGAATTCCTATTGGATGCAGGCGCTGATGTGAATGCTAAGGACAAAGGGGGTTTAATTCCGTTACATAACGCTAGTTCATATGGTCATGTTGATGTGGCTGCACTTCTTATCCGTTACGGGACTTCTGTTAATGCTGTTGATAAATGGGGTTATACTCCATTACATGAAGCTGCTCAAAAAGGCCGAACACAGTTGTGTGCTCTTTTACTAGCTCATGGAGCAGATCCAAAAATAAGAAATCAAGAAAGTAAGTTGTTTTCACTCTTAGTTATATATTTAGTTGTAAAAAAAAGGCGTAACGGCAAAGAACGTTTTCGTTAATTCGTCATCGGAGGGTAACCAACTTCATTTTGTCTAGTCCTAAGTGCTGATAGAATTCTATCTATCACCTAGTAGCGTGACCACCAGAATAGGCACCTCAGCATCGCAATATACTTTGATAGATGTCAGTCGGATAGAGGCAATCAGCAAGAAGTTTAAAATATTGTACGGAAAGCGATTTTTTTGAAATATTCGATGCAGAAAGTTCCAAACCATATCATACATGTTGTTTGGAATGAAGCTATTATTATTATTATTATTATTATTATTATTATTATTATTATTATTATTACTTCTCCTATTAATCAACAAAGTAGAAGTGAATATTTAAATGATACCTAAGTATAAAATGATCCAGTGTTGTAGCACGTTTATGTCGATCGTGACTCACTAAGAATGCACAGTCAAACAGCAGGCCGCATACAAACTGAGTGGTTGAACTTTAAAGCTTATGGTGATTATCAGTTAGATGATAAGTAAGTTTTTATGGTCAAAAGTAAAGCTGAAAACCGCATGTTTTATGTAGATACGTGGATAGAGAAATCTCGTAAGAGTTTTGGCCATTCATAGGTAATATCACATAAATGTAGTTAAAATCTCAGTATCAGGTCACTCGACTTCTTTTGACAAATACGATTGATGTTTCTACTTCGCATGCTCAACTAATTTTCATTATAAACATATTTATACTGTGTGATGATTGAAAGTGAAATAAAAGTTTGGACCGCGGCCGTATTCGAACCAGAGACCACCTGGTTTCCGGCCTGATGCTCTATCAACTGAGTTACGAGGTCCAACTACTGACCAGAATCCGGCTGTGGTCCAAATTTTCATTTCATCTTCAATCATCATCCAGTATAAATACTAGTCTGCCAAAACACAGCTATCTCAGATAGTCAAAATGATTATAAATATATCTGTAGTAAATGCTTACACACATTGATACTTAATTTTGCTAATATTTCGAGCAAAAATAAATAATGTTATTGCGTAAACATTCATTACAAATATATTTATTATAAATTGATTCTGTCTTCACAATGCACAATTTTTTCATGGATATAGTTAACTAATGTTTGGCTACTGATATTGGTAAGTCATGCTTAATTTTTGAAAATGCCTCTCACTCTATTACGAAAAAGTAGGCAATTAAATCTAACAAGAAGGTGACTGACATAAGGAGTTGCCTTATTTATTTCATAGTGAAAATGTATTATAATTTTGAATCGACTTCATGTAAACCAATTATGCTCTGAACATTATAATCCACATTTTTTATTGTATAATCATGTTTACCTTCAATGTCGTTCATGCTTAGCGTGTCACATTTCATATTCTGCTTTCAATATTAATTGATGAGTCTTTTTTAACCCTTTATCCGTTGTCCATGTATGCATCACTCAGTAGTGTAGCCGTTCAAGGAGTAGGTTAACTATTAACTCCCGGATTATTTATTTCATATAGGAAACCATGTGAGATCATTAGGCATTACTTACTCTATGTGACTGAAAGTATAGTGTGTCAATCTGTCATCAGTATCAACGTGCGACTAGTCATTACTGCGTAAGGGTCCAAGTTGCCACACCCCATATCGGCACAACAAGTAACAATGAAGTAAGATGAAGGTAGAAAGAAAGAAAAATGATTAAAATCAGTAGAAAGTAGTAAAAGAGAGGAAGAATGAATAAGAAGATGCTCAATTCAGTATACCAGTTAAGAGTAGAATAATATGTGGATACATGTGCGCCACTGCTATCTACTCTAAGCTTTTATCACTCAGAGTCTCGAACCACTGTTTTCTGTTGTCATGTTGACCCCAACTGGCTAGTCTGCATCTCCTTACATGGCTCAGATGGACAGTTAAGGATGTCACGTACTGACACCATATTTTAGTCTCGTTACCCATAATGTTTTCTTGGCCGGAACCTGTGCCATATGGTTGAGTTGTATTAATTTTCTTCACACGTCTAGAAAGCCACTCTTTCACTAAACGTTTTACTATACTTCCATTTAGATCAAACGCCCTTCGATTTAGCATCGGCGGATGATGTAAAATCATTACTACTAGATGTCATGCTTCACACAACCGCTTGCATTACAACAGTCTCCAAGGAGAATTTTGTTTCATCTTCGTCTACTACTCTCTTAACTGGCATACCCGCTGCAAGTTTAGACGTAACTATACCTCAACAGACGTCATTCAGTAACTTATTACCATCTATGTCAATTGGTCCGCGAATTGAATGTCAAGGTCGTGAGTCCAGTGCACCTGGACCAAGTGTTCCTACTGTGAATACTTCAAACGCGATGTATCCACCAAATATAACTTTAGTTCGGCCAAATACTTCAAGTTGTTCTACCAATGGTAAACTAACAACTGCCAATTTTCTCATATCACTTGGTTTGGGACAATTAGTAGAATTATTTGATAAGGAACTAGTGAGTGAAAATACTGGAATTCTCTGGAAGCTTTTTTATTTATCTTGTTTTCTTCTAATGATTCTTTTTAACATTATAACTATTTGAATGCAAACTCTGTAAAACATGAGTAACAAGAAATGCGACGCACAACGTAATTAAACAACAGTTTGAATTTAAGCGAAAAAACGTGGTAATATAAAGAGTAGACAGATAGTCGTTACAGTGCACTGCGTCCGTAAGAAGCTTTTATCGAATTTGTCTTACTTCTCCCAAATAAAAGATTCAATAAAATTACAGCATAATCGTCATCTGCTTCCATCCGGAGCCGAATATGATATCGTATCAAGCCACTGAGTTTTATGGTCTTTCGAGTTTCGTTAATTCATCCATACAGACTTATATTCGTTTCATGAGCTATATACTGGTTTACTAGTTCACAGTGTTCGGTACTGACATGCATAGATTTTGTCTCCTCGTATTTGACGAATCCTCCGCATTTTTTTATTGAGCACTCAAAAACCTAACTTGACTGAGCATATGTGAATGAATAAATGTAGACAGTGACAAAAAGTATTATTGCTTGTATTATATCGTCGTTGATTAAACCGAATTGATCGGTCTCTGTTGGCATATGGGCTCCTGTGCGGATGCCTCGATGTCACCAGTGTTTTAATTATAGTAGTGGCTATCGTGGCTCGTTAGTCTAGTGGATGATAGTGCTCTGACGTTTGAAGCGGTCGGTCCCGAGTTAGAATCCTGATGGGAACGGAACAACATCACTCACTGGGGTACAGGTACATCCAGCTGACGAGCCCCAAATAGGACGAAGTGCGCATCCTGGATTCCACTGCTAGCCATTACTCATCATTATTGACAAAAAGTGTTTACGAAGATAGACTAGCAACAATAATACACTTATATATCAACAGTACTGATATGACTTGATAACTGACTGAAATTGCTGCTTCGATTTTGAACTTACTTATCGCTCCACTTAAATGAAAGGTTGTTAATCGTGTATCATTTAATTTCAAGACAATTTAATTCTCAAAAAAAGATGAAAACAAAACAGTTGCCAAGCAGAAAATCAACTTTCAAAATTGCTTGACACACTCGAGTACTCTTCTGACAGTCTTTTCCTGTTGAAAACAGCTTCACATGTCAAAACGACTTATAATAATCTAAATGTGTATGTAAATTTTAAGTAGGTTATTTTTTCTCGAACCTACATTTCAGTATCATAGTATACTGCTGTTTTAACAGGCTGGTTTCGATTTACTGAATTACACTTCTCCACTTTTTATGCAGGTAACAATGGATATTCTCTTGGAAATGGGTCATGAGGAGCTGAAAGAACTTGGCGTCACTGTTTACGGACATCGTCACAAAATTATCAAAGGTGTACAAAGATGGCGGTCAAACTGTGTTTCTCAACTGTCTGCGCTAGATTCATCCAGCGATACTCGCAAATCTTCTATGCCTTCATCAAGCACCTCACCTCCTCATCTCACTTCACAACCTAATTCAGTAACAACTCACTTTCACGGTGTTGGTGTGGCTGAAGCTACTCCAACTGGTCCTGCCTACTTCCCTGCAGCAGCAGCTCGTAACACTGTAATGATAGAAATTGATAGCACAGATCCAGAATTTATGGCTGTTGAAGAACAAGTAATTACAAATGTTTTACTGTTTATACATTCATGTAGATAAATTTTCTTCCTTGCTATAGTTTAAATGGGCTTTTCTCAAGATTGCTTTTATTTTCGTTTTTTTCTGTCATAGTCATGTATGACCTTTCATATTTATTCATTCTCGCAAATATCACCGGTCTATGATTGTTTGCTGTTAAACACCAGTCGATGAACGAACACACACTTTGTGTATTTCTCCAATCGGTCTTACCTGTAGAATTGTGACGTTTCACCTTTTTCATTTCCAGAATTTGTATGTGGTATTAATCTTGACTGTATTGCGTTCTCTAAACTAGATGGTTTAATTGATTAAACCACTGTTATAATATGTCCTTATAGAGAATGGGCGATCAAAGTGCTTGTCTTTCAACCACTGGTTAATACTTTCAAATTCACTAGATTTAATTCAATTTTGATCAGCGAGTAGCAATGACATTAATCTTGACACAGCAGATGTGTTAACGACCTGGTATTCGAATATACAGATAGCTACTGAGTTACACTTTTGTAACATACTAGTTAAAGTATGAGGCGGGGAAAAACTGTTGTTATTTTGAAAAGTCGTCTGATTTCCAAATTTTGTTTTCTTCTATAGATTCAAAGCACAATAAGGGAACATAAAGACAATTGTGGAGGCATTTATAAACGATATCGTATACTAAAAGTTGCAAGAATAAGAAATAAACGTCTATGGGATCGTTATTTACACCGATGTGCAGAAATTGCCGAAGACAACTCTGGACATTATAATGAAAGACTTTTATTTCATGGATCACCATTTCTACAGTCCATTGTCATGAAGGGATTTGATGAACGTTATGCCTATATTGGTGGAATGTTTGGAGCTGGTATATACTTTGCAGAAAACTCGTCAAAATCAAATCAAGTAAGCGTGATTTTTTCCTTTATTTTTCCTTTCATTCGATTTTCGTGAGTTCAGTCTAATTAAAGAAGTCTATGCATAGTACTTGTCAAATAAATTTAACGAGGAATGTTTGTATTAGACATTTTGTAAGACCATTATACTTTCTATGTGCAGTAAGCGATGAGCCACACCTATTGTGTGAGGGCAAACGATATCAGCAGGTTCCTCAGAACTCGTTAGGTGAAGCGGAGTGACTCATGAATGGAAGTCTAGTGTCTAGACCAGTAAGCCACAGCTCCAGTAACCATAATGTAATTTTCATCGATATTTTTTTTGTTCGATTACTTATCACGCAACCTTGATACGTTATATAAATGTCTTCATAAGTCACACTGTCTGTGTAATAGCTATCTGGTTAATTGAATGGAAACGATAGATAGGCGAATTAGTGCATAACGCGGTAGAGAAGTGAAACAGTTTAAGTTACAGCACCATGCAGAGAAAAAGTAAACAAAAAGGATTACATTGAAATATAAAAAGTCCACTAGTGTCGTAATGCAGCGAAAAAATGGAAATGTAAATCACAGACAACCGTTATTGGCCTTATTATTTTCTCATTTCGCACTCTTGCCTTAACTTTTGTTACATTGATAGGCTTAGCTACAAACTTTACTGGATAGCCATTCCTACTTAGCGGGTCATGGATAGTGGTGAATTCTCCCTTCCTTTATAGCATCATCAGAACAACTGGATGTGGTACGATATGCTAAGGATTTCACCAGATTTCGCTTGCATTTGGGGGGTACAGCACTAAAGAAATGCATCTATTGACGTGTCGTATATGTATCTTATCGCTCTGTTAACCAGCATACACCAGTGGCAAAACATATCTGAAACCTCGCTTGTTATTCTGCTTCTTTTGGCTAATTCATAAGCTAATTTAAAGTCGACTGAGCTTATGAAAGCAGCTACATGTTCATTTCCCTTTATTCTCTAAAGAATGAAGAAAATGAAGGAATTTAAACATGGTTTCCATCGATCGGTACTTTAAAACCCGATTTACACTTCATAATTCACTAACGTTGTGGAATAAAGCTAACAATTTACTGAGAGAACTTGCTACTGCTCAACTCAGAGCCAACTAAGTTTTGAGCTGTGGAAGTGCAGAATCATTCCACAAGGTTTGTTTGGTGATTATATTTTCTTACCTGGTAGAATAATGTGTTCTGCTTATTAATTGAATGCTTATTTGCTCACTCTTAAATCACAAGTTCTTCTATTTCTCTTTTGTCTTAGTATGTTTATGGTATTGGTGGTGGTGCAGGCTGTCCAGCTCACAAATCACGTTCATGCTATATTTGTCCTCGTCAGTTGTTACTGTGCCGTGTTGCTTTGGGACGGTCATTCATCCAGTTCAATGCTATGAAAGTAGCTCATGCACCTCCAGGTCATCATTCAATTGTAGGTCGACCCAGTGCTGGTGGACTCAATTTTGCTGAGTATGTTATTTACCGAGGTGAACAAGCATATCCTGAATACCTTATTACCTATTTACTCGTCCCACCTGATTCGAATGACAATGAAAACTTAGTGGATCAAATTTCATCGAACGCCACCGGTCTTAATGCAAATATTGCTCTCTTACCACCTAATACTAACAATAGTAGCTCATCATCTAGTGTCGGGCTAATTATAAGCTCAGTACCCTGCAATACTGTCCCTTCTAATTCTAAGGGCATTGTAACCAGTGCATGTGATCCATCTTCTGTACAAATGCCAGTTCAATCCACAAAACTCTCTGTTACTGATGCGGCTACACCTATTTCTTCAGTTGCAAGTGTAACATCAATCGACATTCAGTCATCCAACGCTTCTACTGCTATAGCTTCTGCTCCAGGTGGTCCAAGTTGTCACCTAGTTCCCTAAAATCGTGATATCATATCTTCGCGCCCCTTGCTTTTACGTTATTTTATACTTCACAGTCTACATTAGTCTATTTAACTTCAAACTACTTCACAAAACAGATAATTTGTTTCTAGATTTGCTGTTGGATTCTTTTTTCACTTATTTCCCAATCAAGTGCACTTTGTTATTGATAATATATATGAAAAAAATCTCATCTTAATAGAATGATGCGCGAGGTATGCTTCAAAATAAGTTACCATCTGTACAAAATGCTTGATTTACCCACTGATTAACCTATGTATAAAATTTTGTGTATTTGCACAAAGTGAAAAAGATTTGTCTAATATACCCTTATTCACTATGACTTTTGGAAGTAATCACAGTGGAGTATTCTCCATTTCAAAGTGAATCTATGTTTGCCATCAATAATTTGGCACTCTACAATACTAAGATAATAAATTACAATGCACATTATTCTGTCTTTTAATGTTGAAATTGCTTTTGGGATGTTCATGTTGTGTCGTTAGAAGATGCGTTAATGTTTCACTAGTTCAGCTCTTGCGTGTACAAACGTATATTGATAAGAGTATTATTTGAGGATCTATTGTAATTCGATGCATTTACCCAAATGAATCACAATAATTTACAAAAATTAAATACGTTTCTTAACAGGAGGATAATAGACGTTCTAAAACTAACATACGTTGTAACCAATACCATAAGGAATTCCTGAATCTGTCTGTCTAAAGAACAAAGTTTACTTTCCAGTAGCAACTGAGTTTTTACTGTCAAATCATATTGTAACCATTTTATACACTATACTTGGAATTAGTGGTACATCCTTTTAGAGCTTGCAATGATCGGATGACATAGTAGGTCACTACAGAGAATGCTTAACAGATGATGTTCATTGTAGTGTCCTTCGTTTTTTCCTACTTCAAAACGGCAAAATATGCTGACTGAAGGTCCATTATTCTCTTTAAAAATTATTCCATTGGTATAGGAATCTTTATCGCACTGCTGGGGTGTATTGAGATTAACGAAAAAGTGATTTCGTGGTTGACATGGTGTCTTAGCCAAGTGTACATCAGTCGGTGAAACAGCGGCGACTGAATAATTTGGAATATGCGCAACTCATGCTTGTTTGAAATGAAAAACCTGCTGGAGTAGTTTGAAATATTTTTCACTAGGTGTTAGCAAGTGTAGCACCGGTCGATCGTTTCGTTGATAGGTGATATGAGCAGTACTTATGAGTTGTCTTTTACCCGACTGGGGCGTCACGGTTCTGACAATCACCACTCAGAAACCGCATACAATATATCTTACAGTAGTATGTATGCATTCACTATTCATTTTCCTCTAAGTCTTGGTTATCGTGTTCGTTTTTACCTGCTTAACACCTTTCTTTTTCACCACTTCAATATCTCTCGTCAATCTTTTTCTTTTCGTGCTCGTGGAAATTTTGGTGTTTTTTTACCAACGCTCTTTGCCTAGCTTGATGTTCTTTTTCGTGTGGTAAAGGATACGTCTGATCTTATTTGATGCTGTGACAGTTCAGATATCTTAATAGTTCAGTGAGCTATACCAATAAAACGAATATTGTTTTAAACTTTACCGTTCCAGTAGGGTCTATTGGATAGCGGTAAGCCTAAGAAAATTAACGTCTTAGGGTAAATATCCTATGTTATGTAGTCCATGGATAGTTGCACACTGCTAGCTGAACAACAGATGTTAGATGACAGTAAACTGCTTGCAACAAGCAACCGACACAAAGCCAATCTATTTTGCTTTTCATGTACCTCAAGAAATAATAAACTTCCCGTACACTAGGCTCCTGCAAATTTACTTTCCTGACATTTGTCCCCTTTAATATTTCTAATATTCCAACTCTCTTGTAAAATATGACTAAATAAGGTTATGACCCTATCATGAATATCTTTTATCTAGCTGAACTGCATAAATGATAAGATGTCGGTCGTTTTCTCTCCATTCTGTTTCATTTAGGTACTATTTCATGTAGTTATTCCAAGACGAGAATGGTCTCAGAAACCGGTTAAGTCTCAGAACATTTTGTGAGGCGATGGATAATAGGTCTACATCTCAGTGATAACACCATCACTTACTGCAGTTCAGGTACATCCAGTTGAGTATTCTCAAATAGGACGAAACCAGCGTCTAGGATCACACTGCTAGCCACTAATTAAACTATAAATCATCTTCCGTCGTTAATATTTCCCAACCATTTTCAGGTTAACTCACTCATAACAACTGATTTCATGGTGATCAAATACATCTGAAAGCATTATTTTTAAACGATCACTTGCGTAATATTACATTTAAACTGCTAAACAACTTGAAGTGAAATAAAAATCTGGCCAGCAATCTGGGCTCGTAGCTCACTTGGTAGAGTACCGGGCTGAAAACCCGGTGGCCACTGGTCGAATCCCGCCACGGTTCAAATTTTCATTTCACCTACAATCATCACCCAGTATCGATGCAAATCTCCCAAACCACGGCTATTTCAGATTTTCAAAATGATAACTTTAGCGAATTCTATTAATATATGAGTGACAAGTCACACTACTTGCATTGCAATTCAGTAACAAAAGGATTTGAATCAAAATTTGAGTACAATTAGTGAGGCGGTGATATTAAATTTATTTTGCCAAAAGAAACGAAACAGTATTTAACACAAAATACAAATATATATTATGTTTCTGCTTTTTTAACAATTGCACTAATTATCATCATTCATCCATCATCTTGTTAATCCACTCAGACACTTCATGTGCTGTATCCTTGATAGCATCCCCGGAATTCTAGTTTCATTACAGTAAAAATTCATGAAACGAATGAGTTAGAACTGTTATTTCATCAGACACTATTTCTTAAGAAATCTTCAACAGATTTTACATTTTATTCTCTTCAAAAGCTGCAAATTATTTGACTGACATGGTATTAGGGTTTTCAATATTAAATAGCCCTACAAATATGGAGGAATTCAGTGGATAGCTGCTAGCTTCACGTGGTGGCCATGCTTGCATTTCACAATGACACAACAAGCTACCATGTCACAAGGGTCTACTGAATAGAGGTTAGACAAAAAACAGTTTCCGCTATAATTTAGATAGCTACACCATAATGGAGGCCCGAGGACAAAGTCGTACTGCTGGGTAGGTGGGTTGTGGTGGTAGTAAGCTGTTTCCCGTCGGTCGTCAACAGTGCCATGGGGATACTGCCTTCCCTATAAGAATGGAGGATGAAAATATCGGCCCCAAGGTAACACACTCCTCTCTGCCCAGTATCAGCGGTACAGGGGTTTCTTGTCCGGCGTTAGCAAACTGAAATATCATTCCAAAAGTCTTAAAACGGCTATAAGATGGAACTGAAGGTGTCCGTTGGGATCTGCAGTCAAACAAAATTAACTCTGCAGAAACGAATTCCGTGATTTAGACACCAACCACCTGCACGCCTTCAGTAGTATACAAAACCCAATCAAATATCACCTATCCTCTTTATTTCTGGAAACTGTCTCTTCTCCTATCAAAATACATTAATTTTCACTCTCGTTTCAGGTCGCGGATTCGATAAATTTTTGAGTAATACATGAATATTATTAAGGTTTTTTAATAAAATCATTATACAACTATATGATCAGTGCTTATTTACTGATTGACATCACTTTGTGATGAAGATTATCCTCAAATTAGTCAATCCCTCGCAAACTATGCATTTCGGTGATCGTTTGTGTTGGACTTTGAAAGTGATTGACTGGAATTTTATTTAGCAGTAGGCTCAACGGAATCTAAGGTAGGATGGATTATCCACAGTGATAGTGTGTAACTGTCAGGCTATATTGTGAATTGAACCAAGTTGATAATGCAGACTATTGGATAAAAACTGTTGATGCCTAGAAAGGAAGGGTCATTATATTATTTTTGAACACCCTGATAGTGATTGCTGATCAGTAGAATATTCCGATATATACTTAACAACATTTACTTCTACCAATTTAACGACATGCAACTGAATGTTTCCATGAGCAATATTCACTGGTCATAGTTATTCGTAACAAATAATTACTTGTTCATAATATCTCTACTACTACCTGATACACTTATTCCTTTACTCATTATTTATCTCGTCCATTTATGTCAGACTGATTATTGAATCAATCATCTACCAAGTTGGTTTTTCGTGGTCGATCACATCGTGATGAGCTGTAATCAAACACTAAATCTAACAAAATAATTTATCATAAATTAACTGAAATGTTATAATGATCTGATTTCACTTAAAATCCGAAGTGATGTTCCATGTGCATGAAATTCGCTTGAAAATCTTATATATTAACTGAAGAAATCGATCGATAGTTAGCAAATAAGTGCGATAGATGGATTTTTGCTAACTGGTGACATTAGCTGCCTACTACAATATCCTACATTTCTTATTTGAAAGTAGTTTCAACGGTTGTCTTATTTCTAAAGACAGAAAACAAATTCTAACATTTTTTCGTTTGTGCAGGTTCCCTGTTATTCAACCCAAAGAGTTAGTTGTGTGATATCTTTCTTGAATTCTTACCATAACTGTAGATTTATATCTAAGTTATAATTAATTTCTTTAGTTGGAGAATGTGAACTTAATAAGTTTTTGTTATAATACTTGTAATTCCCGGTTGCTATACAAGGCCGAATCGCTTGACCTCTGTTGGCAGATGGGCTCCTGTGTAGATGTCTCGATACTACCGGATATTCATGATGGTATGTTACAAGTATCATAGCAACAACTGATAATTCTTGCACAAGAGGTGGCTATCCTACCCCAGTGACTTAGTGGATAACCCTCTGTCGTTTGAAACGGTGAATACTGGGTTCGAATCTCAATGGAAACAACATTACTCACTTGGGTGCATGTACATCTGACTGACGAATCATAAGTAGGACGAAATGCGCGTCCTATATTCCTCTGCTAGTCACCAAGATCAATATGAAATTAATAATTATCTTCAAGAGGAAAAAACGTGAATTGTTTGCTACAACTGAATATTGAATTATTAATGGTAAGTAGCTCAAATATACCTAAGTAGGTCATTTTAGTAAAAGCGAAAATTTTACTTGTCCAAGACGTTTTTAGTAAAAATAAGTACAGTCATTGCTTCTAAACTCTTTTATACTCAGGAAATAAATGTTTGTCTTTTATGCGTATATTAACACTTGGTTCTGTAGTTTAGCAACTTACCGGTATTTCATTTGGCTCTTCAATCCTCCTTGCATAAGTGATGATTGGGTGAGTATAATCGACCGGTTGTATGCAGCACTTTGGGATAGGTGGCACCGAACTGCTTGAGTCTAAACTGTCCGTTTGGTTGACCATGGAAAACAAATCATCTCCCATAGAAGAATAACTTTGGTTCAGATTATGATTGACGTTTAAAGCCACTGGCGCTGATATCCAGTGCGCTGGAGGAACATCAATACAGCTCTAGTGCAATAAAAATGAGTCATTTTAATCAGAAGAATACACCTTCAAAATCAAGCGCGTACCAGATGACTTGTCTGTCAGTACTATTTTTCTTACACAAAACTAAGTGAATGGTACAAAAAACATTTATTTAAAACAAAAGTCCCTTGGTTGGTTTTCACCAGGATTTGCGTACACCTAAATTTTAAATATTTGGAAAAATTCCTCCAAGTTAATGACATTAGTATGTTGTCATACAAAGTAAAATGAATCCCTGATTGTTGAGTTCATGTAGTGAACAACAAGTCAGTTAGTCAAATAAACAATTAACTGATACACTTCCTAGGTTATGTAATCACTAAAATCCAAATGGTATTTTGATGTCATCAGTTATAAAAGTTACTGGCCAAGTAGACTTATAATTCTCATAAATTTTACTTCATCTCGAACAAAAATATTCGAGGTTTTCAGTCTATTTCAAAATGAAAATAAATAAACTGCAACACGATTTGTGAAAGGGTGGTAGACCATCTGTCGGATTTAACAGTAATCTCTGAAGAAACTTAATGCCCAACCAAGGGAAATGGTAAGGTAAATAAATAACTATCAGTAACCGTTGATTACTCAATAAAATAGCAATGTATACAAAACACCTTAAGAATAAGGTTTTTGTTGCACCAAAGTACATATGAGATATAAAGGTAGTAACTCAAAATAGATGGCTTTCTATGACACCAGCGTTCCCATAAATTATCGAAACTTTTATTAACTTACCTCTTAAAAATCTATCACTTTCAACTTCAAAATGAAGCACATAAAATTCTACCTTCTGGAGGGGTTTTGTAATTGCATCTGATATTCAAAAACGAGAAATAATAATCACTAAGCGACTAAAACTACGCTGCCAGCATTTAATGAGTTAATATTCAAAGCGTTTGAAACAGTGTTAACCTAGACTACTTACATGGTGATTCATGATAAAGTTCTTTGTTCTTAGCAAAAGATCTGGAGTCGCTTGTTTCTGCATATAAGAGAAATATGGTTTTTCGATATAATCATTCTCTTTTGCGCTTTCTACTTTTTGTCGAAATTGTTTTACTTGATCTTTGCTAAATGAGAACAAAAATTAGTGTTGGTATATGTTAGTCACTTTAATATAGAAGACAGTTAAATTACAGTATCACATATCTTTTAAACTTTTTAATTGACTAGTTAATGAAAAGAAATTTTCCGACATGACTGACATAACGTAAGTCATAGGTAATCCTCTAAGATATCCATTCACATCTGAGTACAGCTTGAATAAAGCAATCCTTAATATTGATTAACTTTGAGTCCCATTAAACTTCCAGTAATTATTTGAGAATACGACCGTAATCATATCTGAATTTTAATGCATAAATTATAGTTCTTATACTCTGTAGTGTTTAATCGACGAGATTTGTTTATTATTCCAATATTTATAGTCATTATCTTATGCATCGAACTAGTTCTTTCAATTTTTAATAAGCAGAGTATTTTTCATCTCTGTTTTACCAGTGAAGTACATACGGCTTAAATGTTTTCACATCTTTGTTAAAGCGGAATATGCATTATTTTGTCAATTTTTCTACCGGTCACTATTTACTGATGCAGATCAGTCTAAAGAACGCTACAGAACGCGAAATTTTTCCTTACCCCATTAAGTTGAATTTATGGGACTTTGAAGACAAACCATAAAAAGATGCATACAGGCATCACCGATGGACAGTGGTTAGCAGTGGAATCCAGTACGCATGCTTCGTCCTTTTTGCAACTATTTGCTGTATTTCTCTGCCTCCTAGGGGGTGACGTTGTTCCCACTAAGACTTGATCATAGGACCAATCGCTCAAAATGCTACAGTGTTACTCGCTAGGCCACTGAGCCACTCTGTTTGATGGCCATAACACAGTCTTTGACGAAATAGTTTGCGCATCTCCGTTATTTACTGGACCGAGCTGATCGACCACAATTGGTATACAGGCTCCTGTGAGAACACTTTGATACTGCTGGTATTTTTCAAATAGTTGGTGCCTATGAATGCAAGTAAGCCTCTGACATGCACATGGGCATACAGATGGTAACATCTACGATATGTCTTAGAAATCACAGTAAGTTATGACTTGGAAACCATGGCACAATGTCGATTGGTTGCAGCTCAGACTTTTCAGATACTGCGCACTAAGTAGTACGTTTAAAAAAATAAATGGTGATATGTCCACCACCCTATGCACATCCTTAGTTAAGTCTATACTAGAAAACTGCATATTGACGGTAAGTCCTTGTCTGAAAGTTGGCTCAGACCTTTTGAAAATTGCTCACAGGGCAGCCGCTTGTATGATCCCAGCAATAACTAGCCTGATCGAAGGAGATTAATTTTAGTAGCTGAAAGCCTTCTTATCCTATTGCAGACAGCGGAGATCTAATCATGCTAGGAAGGATCCTAAGAAGTGACTTTTAACTTGGCCCATTTTCTCTCTTCCTTCTGACTAAGTCTGGACATAGCAGAGAACACAGCAGAAGAATACGAAGGTAAAAATAAAAGCATAGTCTTAGTACTGGTACTCCAGGAACCGACTCCCAGAAGTTGTATCTGTATCATCAACCGACTCGTTCAAAAAAGGACTGTATAGGCACAGAGATCTATCGAAATAGGACAAATATGGGCTCATAGAATCTGGATCTAACTCTGAAATGTGTCCCAGAAATCATTCACTGGCTTTTTACCTAGTTTACAGAACATCATAATTGGCAACTTGCGCTGTTTGAAAAGGGGAGTGACTCTTCACGTCCAGCTAGATTCTTGGCACTTTTTATGCTTACACATCAAAAGTTGTTGTACTTCTGCTTTAATCGAAATATTATTCCGTTAAAGTGAGACAGGAACTTTCACTGGGTGAATTTCCCTAGTTTCTGTTACGTGGTAAACCAAAAGTGACGTAAAATTGCTGGTAGTAGGGCCGGGTGCCGCTTCATACTGGCCTCTGGTATGCAGTGTAGCTAATGTAAGACTTGGTTCCACGACAACTGCACAAGTCTCACACTCTCAGTATGTAAGAGGTACAGTAACGCAGGAAGTGTCTGGTTTTGCATGTTGTCCTGCTCGGATATTCGTACTCTGGCAGAAGAGGCAAAAACACATCTAAACACGATAACGAAGAAACTATCGTCGAAAGGGGAAGTTGATAACTGTAATAGTGATAACGACACAGAATCCATTGACACACAGATGGCTGTGCAAAATTTTAAGAACGTCCTATGACAAGCTGTAAGTTGGTCACGTAGACTACCTAACAAGTTTGCTGACAGCGACTTGTAAAAAACTAGACAAAGCAGGGTGAAGCGAGTATCTCCAGGTTATCGCACCCCCAGAGCTGGCAGACCCAGTGTGAAAACCACCGACTGCAAGACTATGTCTACTTCAGATGAAAGAAATAGGAGTGAAGCAGTCTCAGTGCCAACCACGGAATCATGTAGGCTGCAGGCCATACCCACTTTGGAGACCCAATCATTGGCGAAAATCACATAGAATGGGATGCAAGTCCGTTCTGAGGCTGTCAATATCAAGGCCACTGGACTAGGCTTTATTAAGCTTTGCATACCCGACTCTGAGAAATGGGAAGTAACCAAGTCTAGACGGCATGAAAAGAAGTCAGGAACGGTCATCGAACCAGTTGTCATCACCCAACAGAGCAAAGAAAAAGCTCCTTGACAGATCTGTAATCTCCCACATAGTGGAAGAAAGCAGAGACCCAGAACCACGTGAACGTTTCAAACATGACCTTGGCAAGGTAAAAGTTTGATAAACCAGCTTTTATCAGAAAACATACCAGCAGTTACCCTACTCAAGATATATAGAGTAGGAAAACAGGAAACAGTCATTACTGAAAATAAGTTTCGGCTACTTAAAGTCATATTCAAGTCAGCAAATGAGAGGAATCAGATTCTGAAGAATGCTAACAGGCTTCAAGGATCTGGCTCTTGCTGATCGAATCAAAAAACGAGAAGCAGAAGCAGAAATAAAACCTAGATTAGCAGCTGGAGAGCAGGATCTGAAAGTAGTGGGTTTTCGTGTAGTGAGGTTTCAGCAACAAATGATGCCGAAGCCTCTGTGGATAGGATGCAAAGTGGTTTAAATAGTTCCATTGTATTGTAAAAGAATGCACGTAGTCTCTTAAACAGGTGGACTGAGCTTAGTAATGTGGTAAGCAACGAAAGTTATGACATCATTGCTATATCAGAAACCTGGCTCTCTTCTTGAATCAGTGACTGTAAAACACACGAGGATTCATACCTTTTAGAAGTGACAGGTTAGCACGGAAAAGTGTTGGTGTCATCTTTTACGTTAAGAATACCTTGACTATAAAAACCATAGAAACGGTTGCACGTGAAAGTGAGACATGTAAAGTGCCGCGCTGCGGACTAAAATGCGATGGACAAGATGTTAAAGTAATCGTAATATATCGAAGCTCTGAATGTGAGGCAGCTGACTTCCTCCTAAATAAGCCGACCTTCTAGACAGATAAATGCCGATTTATAGTTGTAGGAGACTTCAACTCACCATCAGTTGACCGGGGTAGACTAACAACAAAAGCACCACGTAATTCGACTGATCACACGTTAGTGGAAATATCAATTTCCTTAGCCATCATACAGTACATTAGGACACCAAACAGATATGATCATCAACATGCTTCATGAGTTCTAGACTTATTACTCTAACATACAGATGATTTATGCTTCATCCCACACCTGGAACCCTTTGGTAAAAGTGATCACGCTGAGATCATCTTCAGATTCACAGCGGACGTCTTGTACCAGACCTATGCCCCAGCTAGACCGAACATATGGAGAGCGAATATGGAAGCTATTAGCCTGGTAGCCTCTTCGAAGAACCGGACAGTCAACCCAAAAGCCTCAGTTGAAGGTACGTGGTGCTCCTTCAAACAGTTATATGCATGAGTGACCTAATCGTTCATTCCAAGGACTGTTCTGAGGGGACGGACACACTGTCCTCCATGGATAAACCACGAAATCCGAATCTTGCGACGACGTAAGAAAAAGTGTTGCAGTCCTGTCACTCACCTCGGCACACCCGAAGTGGTGAAGCAGTACAAAGAAGCTCGCAATAAATGTATCGCTGCCATCTGCTAGTCTCGAATATGCTTTGAAACACGTCTTGCCCAGGCTTCATTGCAACATCCAAAGAGGTTATTTTTCTACATGAAATAAGAAGTGTTGTGATATACCCGCCCTAATCAATGGGACCGAAACTGAGTTTGATTGATGACTATAGGGAAAAAGCAGAAACCATGGCTAGATATGGCTGAGGTGTTCACACAGGAGTCTTCTGTGGACATTTATCCAACAGTAGAAGCATTGGCATCCAACAGAATAAACCCTCTAGATTTCGATCCCAATGATGTATTTTGGATATTAAGTAATCACGACGTGTGAAAATCAACGAGACCGGATGAGCTGCACCCAAGGCTGCTCAGAGAGCTTGGACTCTATGTAGCCGGCCCATTGAACACTATATTCAGACTCTCTCTCAGTAAGGGCACACTCCCCTATGACTGGAAGGATGCCATAGTAACACCTATCTACAAGACAGGTTCTAGGCAGCTCCCATCAAATTACAGACTCATAAGTCTGACTATTACTGTAGTAAAAATCCTAGAAAGAGTAGTCAAGAAACCCATTACAGTCCACATAGAGAGCAACACTTTATTGTCTCGTTCGCAGCATGTCTTTCGTAGAAATTTCTCCTGCTTGACGAACTTTCTCATAGTCAGAGGGAGTTGAGTCAGGATTAAGGATAATAGAATACCTGTAAATGTCATTTTCATAGACTTTAGTAGGGCGTTTGATAGGGTACCTCACTCCAGGCTGCTCGAGGAACTGAAAACTTTTGGAATCACTGGCAATTTGCTTGTATGGACAAGAGAGTTGTTTGTTGGTGGAAGACAAAGAGCAAGGATCAATTCTCAAGTCTCTTTTTGGAAGTCAGTGGAGAGTAGAGTACCACAAGACACAGTGTCGAGTCCTTTGCTGTTTCTCCTATATACAAATGAACTGCCAAATGTCACGAAATCCCTTTTGGTTCTCTACGCTGATGATATGAAAATTTGGCGGGAAATTAGGAATGACGAGGCTATACGTGCACTCCAGACAGACCTGAACAGCTTGCTTACTTCGTCAGAAAAATGGCTGATGCCTATCAGTCAAGGTAAATGTGTGAGTATGCACTCGGTGTACACACACGACAACACCTACGGTGTTCATGGGACTCCTCTGCTGTCAGTACTAACCCACAATGACCTAGGAGTCACAGTGAGTTATGACTGAAAACCATGGCTCACTATCGATTGGTCGCAGACCAGAGTTTTAGGACACTGTAGGCATTATGTAGAACGTTTACTAAAATAAGTGGTGACATGTTCACCAACTTGGACACGCCCCTAGTTAGAAAAGTGTACACAGGCGGAAAATCCTTGTTTGATAGGTGACTCAGACCTTCTAGAAAGAGTTTAAAGGACAGCCACTGGCATGATTCCTGCATTGGCTTGCCTCACTCATGAACATCGACTTAAGAAGCTGAACGTCTTCACTTCACCCTATCGCAGACAGATTGGAGACCTAATCATGCTATGCAGGATTCTAAGAAACGACTTCGGACCTGGTCTGTCTTATGTTTTCCCTTCCACTGGGTTGGAACACCTCAGAGGGCATAGTAGGGGGTTACAAAAGCAAAGAATGAATAAAGTCTCCTCAGAGTACTGGTTCTCACGTCGAATAATCAACGTCTAGAACCGACTTCCAGGTAAAACGATGTCCGCATCATCAATTGGCTTGCTCAGAAGTAGGTTAGGAAAGCACAGAAATCTACTGGAAAAGGATTTATATGGACTCCCAGCCTCCTCTTCTCAAGCAACAAGTCTGAATCTTGATCTGGATATAAGCTGAACGATATCTGTACCGGTTTCGCATAACGCAGCAAAAGGTAGTGTGCGGTAATTTTAAAACACAAAAGACAGCTATGTTTTCATGACCTACTTTTCCAATTCATTTTTCTGTTGAGCTTCGTGTATTGTACAAGATTTATCTCCTGAATCACGATAAGTCTTTTCATAGTCTGGAAAAACTTGTGATAGATGCTGACTGTTATAGGAGAATTCGCATCGATCAGACGCAACAAAATCACTATGATTTATCACGTATTCATCGTGCGTCAGTGAATCTTCAAGGTAAAAGTATAAGTTCTTACTTACAAATAGGACTGAACATAAATTGTGAATCATCATTAATATTTACGCAATCTGAGGTATTGAGAGTTGAGTTCTTGACATCTGGTGTAACTACTAAAAAAAGACGGGTAATTCATTCTAGCACATACACACAAATTGATGTACGTCTTGTAAAGCAGCACCATTTTGTTCCGATTTTACTTGAAAATTAGTAAAACGTAAGGTAACTTACTTGCACCCCTTGGTATTTCAGGGCTGGCATAAACATCCTGCAACTCAGAGCCTGATACAACGTTTTAAATTAAGATGATAAATCTAAGCATACTGCTCATAATTCACTTCGCGTGCTGCCGCGCAGAAACGAGTTTACCATTTAATATATTAACAGAGCTTCAATGTCCAGTATAGGGCTTTCAAACTTGCATAAACAATTCAATTTCTTCACTCTCCCTTTTAGCTTCTAAAGAACAACCACGTGTCTTTTCTGAATTCTGATGTGTAAGGCCCACTTCATCGCCTGCCGTAACTCTGGTAGACCTGACGTGTGGGTGGGAGTAAGTTAAATTAGTATATAGGTGAATGATTTGTCCTAGAATTGTGTTAGAGATTGACTCCTCTAGTGTTGTATTGCAAGATGCTTGTTCGTACCAGTGTTCAAGGAGATATGAAGGCGACCAAACATAAGTGAGTAGAACTAAGGAGGAAAAGTGATCAAGACACAAGAAAGGAAAGTGAAACAAAAGAAGAAACCTGGATAAACGCATAGGAAACGATGAAGAAAACAGTGATGTGGAGAACTGAACTAAAATAATGAAATTAAATAGATTCAGATGGAAAGGGAGAAGTGGCGAAGACAATATAAGGGATTATGGGGATGGGAATAATGATATTGCCAGCATTACGGTGAATTGGTAGGTAAGAGGTTTAATAGGTAAGGGTATGATCGAGTCGAGTTCGTGAAAGTGCTGGTGGTGGATGAGAAGCAACATAAAGGTGGCCGTATAAAAATTATGTAAAATAAGTCGTTTGTTTCTTCCCGGTTTGTATCCCGACCGCAAGAGTGCAAACCACTGGTTACTACGTATCCGTCCAAGCATTTCTCGAATTTGTCGATGGATGGAATGGTGACTACCCCGGTACGTATTGCATTGCAATGGCTGCAGACTAGATAAGAAAGGATTGTGAAGCCCGATGTGTCTTTTTCGTCGGGTTAGCGATTCTCTTTGGACCGAAACTAGAACCATCTGGCAAAACTCCGCTTTCCGGATGACTGAGTTTATCAGTATCTTGTGGACGGTGATGTAATCCTTGTGTAACCTACGGCACCCATGGGACGAAATGCCTACGTTATCTGACTTTTGCTCTCCTGGTTTCGCCAAATCTTTACGGCACTTTGTAACTCGTCTGTAAAATCTCCTCGATGGGTTCGCATCGCTTTTTAAGTGTTCGATGCAATGGGGTTGTGAACCTATAGTGAGGTCAAACATCGATCTTGTAAGGCTCCCAAAAGGGGGTCGGAAATAAGTGCTCCTAGTTATCCTTGCAAGACGTTTTATCACTGCTTAGGGTTCGGAGGAGTCTCGCGAAAAATCGGAAGCGGTATCCAGTCTATTAGTTAGTATGAGTCCAGCGCCTTTCTTCGTTGCCACACAAGAAAGATACCGACCGTGGTAGTAATTGGATACTTTCTGTGGGTTGGGAGTGAGGAAGAACGTTCTCAAGCACATATCCAGGTCAGGTGGTGGTCTGTTATTTTTAACTCAGCACTAAAGCACTCAGTGATGAGAGTTATACAAGCCAACACACCACAAGCATAATGAGAAAGGAAATATGGAACATTGTGAATAAAAGATGTGATAAACGAGAAGGGTTTGGTGAAAACAGTAGGTAGTTGTGCATGGAAGTATAACGCCGTAGACAAGGCCAGGTAATTTAAGGAATGATAGCCCGGTAAGGTTTCACTCGTGTTAGAGAGTTCTACAGGTTAAGACAATGAGATAAAAATTATTCTATCTTATAGGGACGATGTAATTTCTGCAGTTCGAAAGTTAGAAGTAAGATTATATTGACTGAGGTGGCTACAACGCTGATATCATCGACAAACTGATGTCCTTGTACGTTGTATCAGTACTTGACATTGTTCCACCTACAGGGACCATCAACTGCATTTGTAAACAGTTCTTCTTCGGATCAGGACTATAGCTACATGTTTTCGAGGGCTTATGCGTGTTTAGCTCTCGTGTGCTGTACCTTTTCCACCTTTCTAGCGTTTTACGGTAGCCTGCGGTACGTTCTCGGGCCTCTAAGACTCTCAGCTCTCCACAGCTCCAAGTGAATGCTGTGCGGTAGATTCGGATCGCTAAGACTGCATAACAGGTGACTCACAGATAGCTGGATGAACTGACGGGACCACGATGGGTACTTTAGATTCACCGCATGATGATCCTATCCAACTTGGACGTACTCATTTGACTTTCGCCAGTAAATCCGTGCCTCATAAATAGCTGTCCATCGAGAAAAGTGACTGAAAACCAATATCAAGCCTTAAGTTTTTCGGCGGAAGAAAGGCATGTAAAGTAGCCGCATTGGTCCTAGCTACATCGAGGAAAATCGTATCAATAAGCAGACTGCTAATTTTTGAACCCACATGTTTTCGTCTCGAAGCTGAGTTCCTCTACCTGAACCTTAACCATCAGCAGCTCACGGAAATATGATTGCCCGTAGCCTAATTTTCACTTTAGTTTATAGGCCGTAGGTAAGTAAAGAAGCTGTGAAGTTTCTAGGACAATCTATGGTCCCTATTCAACTGCTGTCTGTTTCTGGGCATAGAGTTGAGGAAGTTAACATAAATTAGGCGATGAGCAGTATGAAAGAAGCAAACGATTGTGACAGAATGCAGAGGAAACAGAGCTTCTGCGTTTGGTGGTAGTAATTGTTGGTAAGAGATCTCATTTACCTAATGTACAGGTAGTGTGAGACTAGCATTATTCAAACTATCTTCTCCACCATAGTGCTTTGGTTCAAATCGAAGACCTCCAAGAATCGCGCTGCAATAGTTTGTTCAGTCATCATGTCGCATGCCACTATGTTTCATCCGTACCTACCCCAGACGGTCGATGTTTTCATAAAATTATGAGGCCCAATAGATAACCTCACTCATGACGTTCAGCTTACCACAAAAATGCTTGCAAAATACCTTCACTTACTGCCTACCCAAAGGGATTGGTACTGAGCTTACCACCACTTTGTCACTTGGGCGATCTATAGCTGACCGCGTTTTTTCAGTCGGAACAAAACCAGGATTATCCACATTCAGTGGATGAGGAGTATTGAGGAAAAGGAGAATATTTTTGCAGCACAGGTGCAGAAACAGCGTTCCATCTTCCTCAGTTTAAATGCCATTCCACTGTTTCTAACATATTCCTCCAATACCTCCGGGTCGTTTTGCAGCATAAGTAAATGACGTTTTCAACACCCTTTCATAGTAGACTACGTGAGGGAGAGTCAATGAAATCTTCAGAAAAGAATTGTGCCAGCGTTATACGTGTTCATCTTGAGTTTCATGTTGTGTCTACGTAGATATTTCCCCGGCACGGAAATCTAATCGTAAACCCTGGTAGCATGCCGATGGTGAAGCAGTACTCCAAAGTAATCCCACAGTAAAGTGGTCGGTGATGGTTACCACATGAAAATAAACACTGTTGCTAAGACCCTCAGGTAAAATGAACGTTGTGATTGCGATCGGATGCACACTAGATTAGGCCATTTGACAAAGCGCACTTATATAGCATTCTTAACTGCATGACATTCTAAGCGGGTAGATACACTATTTCATCCTATTTTAGGGTCGCATGTTACCACTTGTATAACTTCGGGGGAGTTCTTTCCTACCACGCCATCTTAAAATCGTACGTCAACTTCTGTTTATCTTAGCTCCTTTGTTCTATTAGACTAAATAGTTCCATCAGGCCAGGTGGCCCCACTGCGGTCATCGCAGTGTATTTGGAAAATAGCATCATAACAACACAGCATACTATAACTAACGTAACGCATAGAAACTACACTGCCATACGCTTCAAAAAGTAGGTGGAACAAATGTTGAGTCTTACAACGGTTCTCCAATTCTAAACCCATGTCAGGGATGGAACTTACGGTTAAGTTCACTTTTACAAAAAACCCTCTGGCTTAGGCAAACGAATTTTCACGATGCTTGTTCAGAGCATTGACTTTATAACTGTTAGTGAAATTACGACCAGTCAGTCAAGACCAGCCAGCTTTAACACGAATCCAGTGATTTTGGTGGTGAAAGTTGCGTCATCACTTGCCTATTTCGTGATTCATTGTCATTCCGAAGTAAGCCTGTTGCACTTGGAACTGGTGAAGGAGGCGTAAGCTTAGCCAGACGAGCTGTCGGTATGAAGGACAGTTTTAATTGACAGAAGTGGTGAAAGGGACGTGCTATTCCAGGCGGCCGGTGAAGCCGTTTGATCGACATTAAATGGGTAAGTGAGGCAAAATATACGACTTGAGGCGGTGCCCTTCTTCTGGAAGAAATGAGATACAAAGTTTTCGTAGGGAAGTCGGGGGTGTTCTAGATGTGATTCTGGAGGGTGGATGAAACACTTCAATCCTCGGGACCATTATGTGCAACTTCAGGAGAGGTTGTCGGGGAAACAGCAAGCGAATGTCCTCTCGAGAATGACATTTGAATAACTATGACAGAAAAACAACTGTTACTTTTGAGGTTAAATATGTACGTTGCTATATATTTAAAGAGAAACAGTGTCTTATAGTCTCCTCACTGGCTTTTCATTTGTGACAAATAATTTTAACCTGAAAAACGCGGGAAGCACCATGTGAACAAGACGTACAGAGTTGAGCATTGGGTGGGAGGAGCGTCATTATGTTTCGTTTTGATTGACCGAAGAAATCAAATGCGTGGCTATCACGAAGGCATGCATCGAAGCGGAACTGTAGAGGCTTGACTCAAACCCTTATGATGTTAGCTAGCTTAAACCGAAATAAATAAATAACTTCATTGAAATTGCGGGGGTGGACACCGTAGGTTGTAAATATTCGAAACTTGGTCCATCCCGTTTGAACAGTGTCTACAGTTGCAAACCACTTTGGAAGATGCATCATGCAAAGAAATTCTCCCCTGGAGGTACTAACGTTTCTTTTCACTGGTCCTAAAGTCATTTTGTGCGACGTACACAAGTCTGGTAAGTTTTTCAGTAGTTTCGCCATATCCGAAACATCTGAAAATACCCCTGGTCATCTGTCCACCCGTCAACTACCATATCCTTATACGGCGGAGCTATTTGTGCGTTAAAATATGGAACAAGCAATTTATTTAGGATGGACCTCCTGTGAGCACCTTTTTCTATGCTTTTTCGCCAATGACTTTATAATACGGAAGACAATAGCTGGGGGAGAATTCAAAAGCCTACTTTGTTTGCAGTATTGAGTAGCTGCAAAAGGTTTAAATTTCAAACGGGTAAAGTATAAGGATGTGTGTCTTTGAGGGCTGATAGTGATGAAAACTAGATACACCTCCAGCGAATGTTCAGTCACCTAAATGTTAATGAAAAATTAGCTAGAAATAAACTCTAAGGTGCTGGGTACCAGTGCCAAGTGAAGACTGACGACAGAAGCGGTGGCTATCATGCAACTTCCACGAAAGTCACTCAAGGTCTTTATCCACAATTCATTCCAAACAGTTTTCAGAAAATGTATTTCACATCACATGGAAGTTTTGAACAAAACAGTTGCCTCTTATGAAGAAGACCAGAAAATACTCTCAAAAAGGTGCGGAAAAAAGCTATAAGTTCATCTGTCAGACTGCAAAAGAAAAGGTGTAGATAACACTCGAACCAACTTGACTTTATGCTATCAGGGGGAATGTAGAAGACCTATAACCAGCCTGGTGGAGTATGCATGAAGTTTACCACCGAAAAAGGAAAACGGCACCGATACAAGATGGGCAGTTTAGTGGGTACGCTACTGGTTCACCCATCAGGAAGATAAGAAGAGTGTTGGACGTTGGTTCGCCTCTGACAGAATATGCAGGTCCATGAACACTGCGAAAATGGAAGCATCAGCCGCAAAGTTTTAGTCCCTTAGGTCGTAAAGTCCTATTCAAAATGAGATAGAAACGCATTTCGTGTAAACTTGGCGTTAATAAATCTTGGAAAAAATTTAAAATGATTCAGTCGTAGTTGCTTTCACTGAATTTTCAGCAGCTTCATACAACCTCATCTGGAGTTCAGGACCATGGCCCGCAGGAAAAAACTATGCTGGGAACGCTCCTGGAGGTGGCCGACCAAGTCTGTTCTAGAATTTAGGTTTAATACATATTAGGAATGACTGCTCGTATTTTGCCTACTTCCTGTGGAGTACGGAAAACTGATAGAAGATTTGACAACGTTCCGCAACATCTTGAGCACCACTTGACATCGACTTCGTCACTTATTGAATCGTTGGTGTAGCACCAACTTCAGAAGACATGAACAGGAAGTAAGTTCGCAGCGCAACTGGTTAGACAGTAGATATACCGTTCGTTTCCTACAAGTTTTTAATTTCTTCCTGCAAAAATGCTCCAGGCTACTTCATCTGAATCTTTTAAATACCAGCTCTGCACATACTTGAGGTGTAGGTGGGATCTACTCAGAATAAGTGAGTTTTCACATTTTGGTTTCCATTTTGTGCTCTCTATTTGCTCGCATACGGGTTGGTAACCTCAGAAACCAGTGTGAAGCGGATTCTGGACTTGCAAGCCAGCTAGAAAAAAGCTTTCTCCATTTCAAAAATAACCATTTGAATCGCTTTAACCATTCTATCCTTCCTAGTTGACCCCCAAAAGGGAATATCCAACAAACCTTTGACCACATACGAGTCATCAGCAACATCCAATATCCAATATCCAATATTGATAGTGCGAGCGTAGAAAACTAGTAGTTTTTGATCTCTCGCGTCTAGTTCTTAGGGCTTGGTTCCAGTTGTTCGGTTTACTCCTGCAGTGGACGAGGAAATCCCCTCTGCTTTCTTGCTTTTAGCTTCGGTGAGGTGGATGTTTTGTGGGTTAGTAGGTTGTAATTTGTAGAGTGATTAGGGAGCTACGGGTTGCTGGGAAGTTTAGAGAACTGCCATGACTCCTGTCTGTGTAGGTACCTGGAAGAGAATAGTAAGGTAGTGGTAAAGGAATGAAGAGAGAATAAAGAAGAGAGTGAAGTAGCACCATAGAGACTCTGGGAGCTGGGTTAAGGCCGTATCGCTAACCATCCTTGCCTTTAAACAGGAGTTTGCGTAGATAGCCACTCCCCCTCCTGCTCTATGTTCCCTGTCCCTGCGGAAGAGTTCCATGCCAGCAACACGCATCTCTTCGTCGGAGATGTCCGATGAGAGCCAGGATTCGGTGATGAATATGATGTCGTAGTGCTGATGTTCACGCAGCGTCCTCATTTTTGCTACCTTCCCTATTAGCCCCCTAACGTTGCTGTACATACATATTAGAGTGTACCTGATGAGAGGGGAGGTCTGGATGTGTATTTTCGCGGGATGAGCGCTTACGTGGTTGAATTTAGCCTCGCCAGTCCTCATAGGACTGGCATTGTTCCGTTTTTTTGTGTTTTGTTCTTAACTTGGGTGGGGGCTGTAGCAGTGGTGGCTTCTTTACTTGATGTATCTAACTCACTGGTCAGCGCCTGTGTGACGACCACTGACTCCAGAGGTCTTGGTGGTTGCCGTCTCTCCTCTTGCCTTGTGGGTCTAGGCTTACTTTCACATATACGTATTGAGCCACCCATGCGATCTTTCGCATTATACCATGCGTGCAGAACGTCTGTGAGGGAGGCATATGAGTCGAACTGGACGGCAAGTAGTCTGGGATTGGGTATGGTCTTCAGGTGCGCTGGCCTTGGCAGTCTACTGACGCTGTTGGCCGGTATACTGTTGAGACCAACTTTGGTTGAGAGCCATTGCCATTGTTGGACGTCGTGAAAGTACCGATCTTTGACCGAGCTGTCACTTGGCAATTCTGGAATCCCATGTACAACTATAGTGTTGTTTCTGTTGGGATTTCCAACCGCTGACTTTCTCTCCTCCTCTCTTACTGACCATGGCTTGTCAGGCCTGGCCCGAATTTTACAGGCATTAACAACGTCCGGTTGTCGCGAGAGGAGGAGTGTGTCTTCAGCCTCTTTGGCGGTATTTAGGGACACACGTAAAGGGGGTGGCTTATCTCGGGGTGCATGGCTTCCTCGAGAAAGGCGACACAAAGTTGCAGGGAGGGGAGGGAGTCCCAGCATCTGACAGTAGTCGGTCCACATTCGGCTGTCAAATTGTTCCCTCTCGACCAACAATGAGTCTGTCGATACATCGACGTTGAACAAAATGATCGAGTTGGTCCTCCTGTGACCTGGGTTCGTTGTGGGTGGCACGCCCGACTTCCCAATGGGTTTGAGTAATTCCACTGGTTGTTTCTCAGTCACGGTGTGTGGGGTGTTCGGAATGGGATAACTACTGGATATATGGCTAGCCAGTTGTCTACTTTCCCTCCCCAGGATGTACCCAAATGACTATACATTTCGTTTATCATAACGAATTCCAATATTATTCTCCAGCAGTACTTTTCCCGAATTTCTTCACCTACTGTCCACCAGATTCGACTTTTCTCCAGCTTGCCTCACGTTTTATGTAATCCACACTGCTTCAGGAAGTTGAACCTGAGTGTTTGTATCTGATATGAACTGTTTTAGATTCTTTCGCCTCGCATTAACTCAGGCGGTGTTTTAAATGAGTACGTTACTATTCTACACTAGATCATGAAGAATACTTAAAGTCTGTTTGCAGTTTATCAGGCTTTGATTATAAAGTCAAATAGCTGCGTTGAGGTAGTTCAGGGATATGGCATGAAGTGATGTTGTGTTCACATGTTTATAAATGTTCTGAATGATGATACCGAAAAATGATAATTTATGTTTAAATTTATGATTTTCGGTTTTTATAGTTTTTAGTTGCTTTCATATGAGAAAATACAAACAGATTGATCAAACTGTGTATTTGATTACATTTGTGGTTTGTTTCCTGCAAAATCTAAGAGGGATTCGCTTGAGTTAAGTTAAGGAACTTCCTGTTCGCTAGAGCATTGTGTTATTGGAGTTGGGAAGTTCGTTTGGCCTTAGACATGAGACGGCTAATTAGTCAGTTATATGAAACCTCCGCGATTGGCCCTCTAAAAATCTAAGGAAAAGTTTTCTATATATATATATATATATATATATATATATATATATATATATATATATATATAGTACAAGCTCAAAGTCTACTTAGAATGAAAACTTTCAAGCCGAAGAACAGTAAACTCCAGAAAGTCAAGGGGGCTTTAGATCTGGTTGAGCGTGCATGGATCATAATTAAACCCCAACAGGTTCTAAAACAGGGTGATGACCACCGGTGACCGACACTAGCCACATTTCTCGACCTGAAAGCAGGAATCGACTCTATCGAATGTGAAGTATTGCGGCAGTGTCTGACTGAAACGAGCACTGAACAAGTATTTAACGCCAACCAAATATCTCCAATCGAACTAACTAACAGTATGAGGGTGTATGGAGAGTTATCATATGAATAGACGTCAACTAGTACTGTCCACCAGCTACACCCACTGTCACCATTCATATGTCACTTCGTCATTGACGTACTAATAGACACAACCCTATGTACATCTGACTTCACAGGGATTGACCTACTCCCTGGTTGACATGGAGTATTCAGACGATATTGTCCTGCTAAGTAAAAACACTGGCAAAATACAGTCTTCTGAACACCTTCAGTAGAAATCTGAGTAAGGTTGCCATGCATTTCACATCTGTCAAATGTAAGATGATGCTCCACTACTGGTTTCCAATGACTCCAGTCTAGTGATAGGGAGTCGAATGGTGGGATGTGTCGACCGCTCACTCACTTAGGGAGTTGTATCAGCTTGAACGGACTGGTTGCTGACAAAATCTCAGATCGGATACACACAGCCCGTTTGGCATTCGCCAACTTGCGTCTTCTATCACACCGATATGCGAGATATCTGACTACCTGTTAAAAGACGAGTATACTGCGCTACAGTCCATTCTGTTCTGTTATATGGCTGTGAGACATGGCCGTTAAAAGTAGGAGACATGAAGCGATTGCAGAGTGTTGATCATAGGCATCTTTGTAGCATTGCTTACATTTGGTTGAATCACACTGTGAGCAATATTGAGGTCAGGGGAAAGGTAATAGATAAGATGGGCAAGTTGATTGATGAGGTTGTGAGCTTTAGTCGACTGAGATGGTTTGGACAGGTGTTGCGCATGTTGAGGCACCGCCTACCTCAACGTGTCATGCTAGACGAAGCTGGATTAGGTTGGAAGAGGGTTCTAGATGGTCAGACTAAGATGTGTAACCATTCCATGAAGTCTCTTACTGTTGGTCTCAGTTGTGTGGGGCGATATAGACTGCCTGTTTGAGGTCCCCAAGACGAAAGTAATCAGTGGTTGAGGATTCTTGATGACACAGTTGGAAATCGGTCTCAGTGGCGCAGATGTATTCACTTCTTGACTTGTTCTAAAGTAGCTGGGTTATTTGCACTAACCTCTATCTCCAAGTTGTTTATTTTCTCACACAACTTTATCTACTTCTGTCTACTTACTTCTATCTACCTGTTTTTTTGTAAGCTGCAATGAAGCATAACAACTTGAGCCAATGCATTCATTTGCAAGGTTCTTCGTTGATTTTGTTAGTCAGTTATACTAAGTTGCTTACCGCTTATTTGAATATGCTTTTAGTGTAACTTTAAATCTTAATCATTGTTATGGCGTGAAAGTATTTAACTGGTTTAATTGCAATTATGTGACACTACCTGCTGATAGGCTTCTTGAACGTGGACCATCGCTCAGTAATGTGGGGTCCCATGTTGATATTATCCTCTCTAGGTAATCTAGTTTACGTTGTAAGATTTGTTTTTATTTTTCGCAAACAAAGATACACTGCTTTTTTAAAATCTTCTTTTGCACACATTTTATCGGATATTTTTTCAATATACTGTTTTATCGAAGTAATCCCATGAGGTCTCTGTTTTGTGGTTACTTTTGTTATCCTTACACAGAATTGTACGTAACAGCTACTCTTTGGTGGTTCACATTCGGTATTTTTCTGTAAGGTAAGACGGAGTGTTATTGTTCAAAAAGTCTACCTGACGAAAATGTTCAGTTTGTATCCTAGGTAAACGTCATGTCTACCCTTCAGTATTCTACTCCGCAGTTTAGGATTGCTGCCATGTGGAAAATGGTTTGTTCCTCAGATGATTAAATTTCCTTATACCATAACTTATTATTCTCCATGTAAAACAGAAATCCATGTAAATGTGAGAAGCATGAGATATGGCATTACTTTGTATCAGTTTAATTCTCTGCACATCACACTATCACATCCAGGGGAGATCAACAAGATGGTAGACAAATAAGTGAAAATAATATCAGGAGTCTTAAATCGAAAGAGTGACAAAACAAACAAATCTTTTTGATAGTGAGTTTTTTGAAATGTAGACTAAGTGAGATAGGAGGATTAGACGCATCCTGGCACTGCGATAGGTTGTGATTTGTATCATCTAAAGTCTTCAGCCATGAGTTTAAGACTTTCGATAGACTTCAATCAAGAATCATCCACTTTTTCACATGATTGAAACTGATATTGAGACACTTTATAGTTTGGTGTGACATCTTATAAGTGCTCAATAGACGGTATCTGATGCATTCCCTCATGCCCAATGTTAGTCTCCAAAGATATTTATCTATGATTAGTTTTTTGTGTAATTATAGCCGTTTCTTCTCAGTGAATTTTTGAATCCAATTTGAGGACTGTCATCTGTTAGTGCAAATATCCTACCTATTTTTTGCTGAACATCTAAAAAGTTCTGAATAGCACGTTTCCTGCTAATTTTATCTGATTTTAGGTGAACCCTGGAATGTATTTAACCCAAGTTCAAATTCGCCCACACAACCGAACTCCAGGCGACAATATCGATTAGCGCATCAAACTCTGTGTATCACTCACATTGACTTCGAGCAACGTTTGGTCATTGGTTTCACTCAATTGGTTATATGGCCAATTGCACCAACATTACGACGTATTCATATTAATTGCCGCCAGTGTCGCATTCATCGCATTTTATTGGAAGCAGCTGACAATAAATCAACAGGATTTGAAGATGATCGGAAAGTGCGTACTTCCAGTTGGTCTGCTTCAAGAACCAAACTCATCCCATCACCAACTGATCTTCCAATTTTATTTACCGATCCTACCTTAGAAATATGTGAACATGATACCAAATTAAGGACTCTAGACAGCTTTGAACGTCGTTATACGTCTGTGGTTACTGCAACAGATCCAGATGAAGGAGGAGGTGAAATTACGGTTCGATTACCTTCAGATTTTTGGCCACTAATATCCCAAAAATCCCCTATTACGTTAACCATTGAATTTTCGTTAAATAAACCCAAGTCTGGTTTTTATTTTGTCGTTCCTGAAGGAGAAGGCTCTTTGACTGAACGTGGAGTCCATGCATTCACTGCCTGCTCGCCTAATTCCTCTCGTTTGTGGTTCCCTTGTATTGATTGCTCAGAACCATGTACCTGGAAAATCGAAGTGACAGTTTTCGAAGACTTGGTTGCTGTTGCTCCTGGTGAATTAATAGATGCTCCATACTATACTGAAGATCTAACACACAAGACTTACCAATTTTATGTTTCTCAACCAGTGGCAGCTCCCTATATTGGATTGGCTGTAGGGGCTTTCGAAATTTTTCCAGACCCGAGACTTTCTAATGGAGCGACACACTTTTGCCCAAGTGGATTATTACCTCTATTACGACATACAATATATCCCCTTTCAGAAATGATAGAATATTACGAGTCTATCTTGGCATCACAGTATCCATTCTCCACAATAAAATGTGTATTTGTAGACTGTGCGTTTTCAGAATTCCAATCATTCGCTTCTCTGATCATATTTTCTGTCGATTTGCTTCACTCACCTAGAATTATTGATCAGGCGATAGAAACTCGTAAAGTGGTGTCACTAGCAGTGGCACATCAGTTTTTTGGATGTTTTCTCATTATGGATACATGGTGTGATGCATGGCTTACATTCGGTCTAGCAGGTTACTTATGTGGTCTTTATCAAAAACGTGTTTTTGGAAACAATGAATATCGCAAGACTATATACGATGAAATGCACTTTGTAACTGAATTTGAAAATATGAGATATGGTATTGTGCTTGACCCGTCAAAAATAACTTCAAAATCCACTTATTTTGACTTGACTTCATCTCATGTAAGCTGCTTATTCATTTTAATTATGTACACTGATAATTTTCAAGATCCTTTTTCTAATCTTTACTGTTTTAGATGCAAGTTTAGAAATTACAAAATAATCAATAGCTTACAGTTCATGAGCCCTCCAATTTAATATATTCAATCAAGTAAGCTGAGGGAAGTTTATGATAACCTCTTGTCAATAGTCAGAACTTGTATCATTCTACTTCAGGAAATGATGGTTTATCTCCACTGATGAAAGGTATACCGTAACACGAAATACCACATAGTTTCATTGTTTACGAGTTCAACTTAGTAAAACCTTTAACCTTCAACATCTCTTAGTAGTGATAAGGATCACCAAAAGTTTGATTATGATTATGTTTACCTTTAGTTTTAGTAGTGGTGTATTGACTAAACATTTTACTCATCAGCTGTAATTGTATATTTTTATTATTCACACACACTTTCTACAAATACACTCATTCAGCGGGTTAGTACAGATTGATGGACACCATAGAGATTACGAAGGGTTAAGTCTTCATTGTGTAGGTAAACACTGTTATCTATTTGAAATTTAGAAAACTTATACATGTGAGTTGTTTGATGCACCTACGGGTTGATGAATTGAGCCATACACGATGCTGACTATCTATTTTGTTTTTCATGTGGATTTACGTCTGCAATTGGATTCCATTGTCTACTTGATGTGAGTGATTCCATTTTGTGCATGTAGACTAGTATATATTTGCCCATGGGAAACTGCTCCAGAAGTGTACTATACCTCTATAATACTCACTGGATTATTGAGTGCTGTACGTGAAGAACTCGTCATTTCATTGTCATAAATTATTTCTATACTTTCTTCTAGTGTTTACGTTTTTCATGATATAACACCTACAACAAACGTTTATTGTTGCCTCTGACGAATCACACTTAACAACATGTGGAGTGATCTTAGACGTATTTTCAGATATCTTGCCTCCGAACAACACACTATTAAACTAAATGTGATGATATGGATATGGGAGAAAACTGGGTTGCATTTTAGATTAAACTCAGATCATTAGTTTTGAGATGAACAAATTGTGTTCAAAAAGAGAATACTGATAAATCTTTGGTTATTAATATGATCAGTGTTAAATGCTGTCATGTCAAATGTTTTTATTTGCACCCTGATAAAGGTTAAATCTCCTTTAGGATTTATCATTTTCACTACTTATATACCAAACCTATCAAATGGTTGCTATCAACGTTTCGAGGATTTTTTGACATAAACCGCGAATATTACAGCACGTTTATTCCTATTCAACAGAAGGCCAGTGACACGATGTTAGTGAATCTTATTTTACACAAAGTATTTTTAGAATATGAGTAATGTGAGTAGTTGTTAGTTGCTTCTAAAACTATAAAATCGTTACCTGCATTTCCATAGAAAAATCATCAGTTAAATTGTTTCTTATAATCCCCTCTAGGTGAACGGAGAATACTTAAGTAGGGATGCAACAGTTGCGCTCATTCCCTTTTCTGACACCGTTTAGTTTTATCAAAGTTATTTACCATTCTCCTGTTTAACGCGGATTTATTGCTGAAATCATTTCTCTATCTGATTGCTATGAATTATATTCTCTATTTATTTGATGAACATATTTTTGGGTTAGTATGTTTTACGTGCTATCAACATTACCTTACTTTTGCTTAGGTTCAGTTCCTTTTCTTCTGTTTCAGCTTATATCACCGGATTATTTTGCAGCCTATGTGAAGAAATCTCACTTAGTAATTCGTATGTTGGAATTACGGTTGGGTCAACCTGTGTTACTTCAAGTGCTTAATAAATTACTTGTGCTCGCGCGCCTTTCTGCCAAGTCCATTCTTTCAGTTGCGGAGCAAGACGAAAGCGAATCGACTGGGTTAGGTACTTCCAGCCGAAATCAAGATAATCCTGTCTCAATAAATCCGGATGCTTCATCTCAACAAAATCCTAGTGTCCCACCATGTATGTCAGACGAACATAGAGCTAATATCTTATTATCTACTGCTTCTTTCCAAAGGATTATTTCCATGGTTACAGGTCAAGACATTCGAAATTTCTTAAATCAATGGGCTTGCCATTCTGGTCATGTTCGACTGTTTGCCAAGTTCCATTTCAATCGCAAACGCAATGTCGTAGAACTGGAATTAAAACAAGTAAATACTTTTATACCATAAATTATGATGAAAATTTTAAGTTTCACCAATTGTATATTCCAGTAATTGGGCAGTAACTATGACCTCAAATAATTCAGTAAAGTCAGTCAATAAGTCAGTATCTTCATGGGATCTAGAATTACTGCGTAACAGTCCAATTCTGACACACCTAACGTCAGTACATCAAACGAGAATATACCTAGATTAACGATAAAGTAAGGAAGAAAATAGTCAAAAGTATTAGAAAGTCGTGATAAGCGAGAATAGAAGGACTGAGATGATATTTGATGACTAAAATGAAGATGATGTGTGGAAGCACCTGCGTCATTGCAATCGATTTCAAAGGATATCACCTAGAGTCTGTAACCACCGGTTTCTGTTGTCACATGCGGACCCCAACTGGAAAGTACGTTTCCCTACGCGGCCCAAGCCAACAGTTGGAAACTTGATAGACCGATGCCATGTTCTAGTTTGACAGTCTTTAACTTTTCCCAGCTTCAGCCTTTTTTCAGCTAACATTGCGTGGCGAGGCAGACAGCAATTAGGCATGCGTAACACGTTGCAGCCATCTAAGTCGATGAAACTTCCTAACCAAATCAAGTGAATGACATCTTCCGTTCGAAACTCTAAGCTCTCCTGACATCTGCTTTCTTTCATGGTGGCACAATGATACACGGTCTATGCTGCGAAGGTTACTATGGTTGAACACTTGAAGTCTTCTCATATCTTTTACCTTTAATGGTCATGTTCCACAGCCATATAGTGGAACATGGTGAACTGCAGCACAGTAAACCCAACTATTAATGGGTGGTCCAATAACAGGAAAACGGCATAGATGACGTGAGTTGGCGGAAGCCAAGTTAGCCTTTTGCATCCGTACAGAGATTTCGTGGAGTAATGACACAGCAAGGCTGATGTGACTTACCAAGGTAGCGAAGTGGCCAACACAACCAACTGCCTCACTCCCTATTGTTAGCGAGGCACCATTAAAGACCAATCCTACAGCAACAGTTCGGATTTAGGTGGTGATGAACGCAACCCAAACAGGTTCCCACTCAGTGCGTCCATAGGGATTTGTATCTTGTCAGGGTCTTCACCCAACAGGACTAAGTCATCTGCTTAGGAGATTCTCCTGTGATGTGGTGAATTTCTGTAAAGTCAGATGACGAGAGCAAGACCTCTATTTTTACGTTAGTGATAAAGCTGAATAGGAACAGAGAGCGAAATCCCAAATGGACATTACTCGGTGTACACAACTCACCTGATAACTCACCATAGGCTGTAAAACCCCCATGGGTGTTCGAGTAAAGAGTCATCAACTCAGTTATGTACTTACCTGCTACTGCTTTCAGTGAGAGACACTGCCGTGCGACGTTTCGGTGGACGGAGTCGAATGCTACCTTGAGGTTGATGTATACCGGTAACTGTGCCAGTCTTCCAGTATTTAATTTTGAGTAAATACCTGGTCAAAATTTCCACGATCAGGTCTGAGAGCTATCTGTTCCCCTCAGGTTTGCTTTTCTCGAACTCCACTTTGACGTTCAATAATATCCAAACGTCTAATGTCAGAGGTTATGTTGGTTAGACTGATTCCCTTGTCGGGGTTGTGCCTTATCCTGAGGTATGGTACAGTCAGTGGTCGGTACCAGTAATATGGGGTCTGTAACTGGTTTCCATACTCTAGCGAGCATCTCAAGCAACCTAATTAATAATTCACGATCACCGTCTTTAAATACCCCCGTTACTGGTCCATCTGGATCTTCTGCGCTTCATCTTCAGGTTATCTTACAGCCTTATCGACTTCTGCAAGAGTTGGAGACCCTATCCCAGTTTTTGATTTCGAATCCAACTGGAACAACGTACAACGGAATGGTACCTGGAGATTAGTTGAACTACTTCTCAAGTCGTTCTTCTCATTTTACCAGTCGTCTCCCCATCGTTCTCCGTTATAGTCTCACCAACCTTTGACCTCTTCGCCACAATTTTCTTGATATGTGTCTACTATTACCTATCACCTCTGCTTTTCAGATCTCTTCAACCTTCACTTACCTACCACTTCTCGCAATCATTGCATACATTTGTCTACATTTGAGTGGCTGTTTCTCCTCATTGTGTACGTAGGTTGCAGGAATGAGTACAAGTGCATGTATTAACTCAGAAGTAGTTGATGAAATCCATTCTCCCTTTCTAATTACTTCCTAAGAGTTAAGTACGATCTTCAGTGCTGCTTTGAAAGCAAACTAGACAAAGCACCAGGCATTTTTGGGAGAAGTGGTAATGTCCTGTTTCGATAACTGTCTAACCAGTGCTTGCTGAAAGCAGACTTGGCATTCTTATTGTCTTGCTGCACTTGCAATGGTCTTGTTGCTGTGACATTTCCACATCCAATAAAGCGCAGAAATATACATGCTAGCTGTCTAACCACGTGCTCCGGAAGCATCATGGTCATGGGTGCGTACTACTGAGGAGTCTCTTACTAGGACAATACAGCTTTCCAGTGCCTCCAGGTTTCCAATATTTATCCAACTGAAGTCAGTCCATGATGAATACCAACTAGAAAACAACAAATAAATCCCCACAAACCTCCAAATTGAATCTTTTTTGACCCTCTCCAGCTATGACTAATAGCAACGTGCTCTGTGCCCACCGTCGAGTTGAGATCAGTGGATGCCATGCAGATTACTTCTTTCTTTACTTCTGAATTTTGTGCTGGTTCAAAGGTTGTTATCTAAACACAGTTGTAGTAGGCGATCGCTGTCGGTTATTTGTTCGACAAGGATTCCGGAAGTTCTCTCTAGGTGCCTTTCTGTTTGACTTGACCCACCCGCTTGTGCACTGAAACTACTTTCAATAACAGTCACTTCTGAAAGTTTGGTTTTCAGTAGGGAGGCTAAATAGTTTTCAGCATAACTTATCCTTCACTTCATCGCAACTGCATACATTGGGTATGTAAGCAGAGTTTCAGTAATATTCTTGGGCGTCACTCTGCCGTTCAATCAAACAGCTCATAGCAACTGTCAACTGAGATCCAGTTAAAAGGTGTTATTTTTGATTTAAGGCTTAGTGCTATTCCTTTATCTGCCAGACCATGAGAACTAGCCATCGGATCTCCGAAAATTCCAAGGGTGTTTTTGCAAGATTCACAATATCGGAGGGATGAGGTTAAGTGAATAGCCGCAATTGGGTCCTGCACGCTTTTCTGGTAAGCATAGCACACGTTCTATGGTCTGTAATGCTAGGTTTTCGGTTGGCGAAGCTTGTCTGATTTGACGGGGATCGGGGACTTTGGAAGTTCTACTGTATAGTCTGGAGCGCGGTTTCAGAAGACTAGGGATACGATTCCATGTACTCGGATCGCTATTAAAAGTTGCAGTGCTAGATGCAGTGAGAGGTGATGTGGGAAATTTTAGAAGATAGAAATGTTGAAGGTTGATTATTATCGGAACTTGATTACTAATAGAGTTGGGGGTGGTTGATACTTCATAGTGACTCCCGTGGTGGAAAATTACTTCTTTTTCAAGTGCCTGAAAGAGAAATTGGGTTAGTAATGGTGATCCCTGGCCTCAGGCCCCCTTAGACATCTTCTCTTGGCCTGCCAGTCAAGGTCTTTATGGAAGTTTGATTTTTCAGTTTGTTTACTTTGAATGCAGCTACAAACTCAAACTGCTGCCATCGAAAGGTCGCAGAATACGAGATAGTTTGTCATTTTTGGGGACCGATCTTTTCTTATGTGCCCATTTCTGTAGGAAGGGTAGCATCTGTGTATTACTACTGTTCTTTTTCACTAGCTGTCAGTGGTTAAACAACCGGGAATATCCATACTTACTTACTGTCAAAGTTTAACGGAGGACCTTCAGATTGTTTAGTGTGCAAGCTTTTCATCGCGTTTTAAGAGTGCTTTCTTCTACTTTTAATTTTTTAGTCTGACTGGTCACAGTTCATGCTTTATGACTTTTGAAAAATCACCTCACTGAAATGCTCTTAATGGGCTGAGGATAATCATTTTGATTGATAATTTTCAGGATTCTATTGATTAAAGCACGGTTTTCAGAAGCAATCAGTAATCAATCAGCAATCGGGAAGTAGACTGAATATTAACCAACGGCTTTCTAGTCTTGTGGTTCGATCGTATCATGCCTGACTGATAACTGCTACTTTGAAGTGGTGGTCAGGCTTGTATATGACAATGACCGAGGGAGCTACACTGGTTGGAACGCTTATTTCCTCGAGCTGCTGCAGTAAGGCTATGGCTTATTGGTTTAACGGGATGATTTTCAATTAATGGGTCACCGGTTAAGACACAGCTCTGCATACCGAGGTTTGGTCACCCAGGTAATATCATTAGCCCCCACATACTGCGTTTGGCTTATAGTCTACTGCGCGAATGTGCATAAGTTTGCTGAGTGCATTTTTATTTCGATTTTTGCGGTGAAATAATGCCGAAAACATCTTTTGGATAGCGATAAGATAAAAAGCAGTTACTGTTGTGTTGCAAATTGCTACACTATAATAGGGATCTGAGGGTGAAGTCGTACTGTTGGTTGGATGGGGTGTGACAACAGTAAGGTGTTTCTTTTGGATGACAAGTAGCACCACGCCGGTACCTTCCCCGGTGGGAAGAAGGCTTTCGAAAAAGGTTAACCCTAAAAATAGCACCCCCACTTTGCCATCTTTCGCTGCTGGAGGAGGATTGGGTCGTTCCTCTCCGGTGTTAGAACAACTAAATTGAAAACCAACATGTTCAACATCATAATGTCCTACATGGAAACCTTTTTGTACTGATTTTCTTCACTAGTTTGTATAACGCATATGATTTCAACTGCAGTAGCAAAAAATTGATGGAATTCTACGGTATATAGTGACAGTGATTTTACTCAACTTTATGAGTGGATATATAGCACTTAACTAAACGATTGTTACCCAATAAAATGTACAGATTATGTAGATAGACCAAATAGCATGGTAACTAATATGATTTGTATCAGTTTAACATCCAGGGGAGATCAACAAGATGATTCACAAATAAATGAAAATAATATCAGGAGTCCTAAATTGAAAGAATGACAAATCAAACAAACCTTTTTAATAATGAGAGAGAGAGGGATTGGATGCATCCTCATACTGCGATGGGTTGTGATTTATGTCATCTGAAGTCTTCAGCCATGAGTTTAAGACTTTTGATAGACTTCAATCAAGAATCATCCACTTTTTCACATGAATCAAGCTGATACTCAAAAACTTTGTAGACTGGTATGATGTCTTAATTTTATTACATTTATGTTGTTTTATTTAATGTGTAGTGGTTATTTAGCTCAGTAGGCAATAGGACATTTTTCCAGTCAGTAACTACCCTTTTCTCTTGTGTTAAGCATTATCATGCCTCCTAGCTTCTCATACCTCTGTACGTCCAGTTGGTTTTGGACCCTATGACTTGCTAGTTGAAAGTCTGGTGCCCAGACTAATAAGCCGTAGTTTTACTGTGTGTTACGCAGAATAGTTAGCTATCAACTGCGGAGCATTCTCTTACATTTCACTTTTCGAACCATAGTCTTTGTTATTTCTTTATAAGAATGCTTTAATGGAAAAAGCCGAGTAATCACTTCATAAATCTTGATACAATTGTTAACTAACGGTTGTCAACAATGAATGAATTGGCCTAGGCCTTAATTGAGTATGAAAAAGTCATTTCAGTGAATCAAGAGTTTATTCTAACCAGAATAACCGGGAAATTAGACAGAATTAAATGTTAGATTCATTGTCTTAGATGACAGTCGTGTGATTTGTGTTGCTTATAACTGGTGTTCAAATAACTTGGAAAGCAAACTGTATAAAATCACAAAACACGAACTTCCCACTGATTTCATTGTTATCCTAAGTATTAGAAAAATATATCGATGATTTTTAGTACATAGGTGATACAGGTACTTTATGAACGCCCAAATAAATATTGGAATAACACATTTTACCCATACTCTTTGTCGGTTACAGTGATGGGACATTAAAAGCTAAAATTTATTACAGGACTTACAGTCAAGAGGTACGTTGAACTATACTGGACCAATTACGGTTATGCTCCAAGAACTGGATGGAGCATTTATACACACTTTCAAACTGGAAGAAGGCCGTATGTCACGTGATTTACCATGTCATTCCAAAAGTCGAAAACATCGTAAGAAAAAATATCTCTGGCTAACGGAGATGAGGTTGATATGGATTTGGCTCGTATTGATCCAGAATCACCTCTCCTTTGGTTTCGAATCGATCCAGATTTAGCTATCATACACAATATTCATGTTGATCAACCAGATTTCATGTGGCATCTTATGCTAGCTCATGACAGGGATTGTCTGGGTCAATTAGAAGCAGTAAATGCTCTGAAAGACTTCGCGTCTCCTGAAACACGCCACGTTTTGACCAATATTATTTTGAATGAAAGAATATTCTATCACATTCGAATGGAAGCCTGTTTTACTCTATGCCATGTCGTAAATGAATTAAGTGCTCTCAGTAATAATCCTTCAATGGCATCTACAGCTGTAGCTTCTTGTCTATTACCAATGTTTTGGCAGTTATTCAGTTCACCAGCCGCTCGTGGTTTAATTCGTCAGAATGATTTTACTAATTTACAGTATTATTTTCTCCAGAGGGCTATGATTAAAGCCCTATCAACTTTACGTGTGCAACAAGTCTGTCCACATGAGGTGTTGATCTTTCTAAGTGATCTGTTGCGGCATAATGATAATTCACGTAATCCATACTCTGATGGTTACTACTTGGCTGATCTTGTAAAGGCAATGAAAGATACTCTCACTCCTGCAATTATCGTACGAGGAGTTATGTCTGCATCGACACTACCATTTGAAGCGCGTACTGTTATCGAAGAAGTTTCTCATTTACTAAATTTGGAGACAGAGACTTTGAGTTACAAGGGTATTGTAACCGTCGTGTGTTTACAAGCTATAAGACGATTACAACGACTTGGATTTCTACCCATAGATCCTGGCCTATTTTATCAATATGCATCGTCAAACTTTTACTGTGATATCAGACTAGCAGCAATTGAAGCTCTTGTCGATTACATAAGAGGTGAACGAGACCAGTCAGCATTAGACTGGTTGTTTAACAATATCATTGAACGAGAAGATGTTAGTGATGCTTCATATGTCCGGCTTCGTTTTCAAGCTGTACAACTGCTGCTTCGTATGCCACCTTTTCAACGTGGTGAAACTGGAAGTCGATTAGACACTCCTCAGCTAGTTGAAAGACTTTGGACTTTGATGAATTATGGATGTACTGGTGACCCTAGACTACGGTGTGCAGTAGCTGAATTGTACTACACCCTTTATGGTAACCGTCGTCCAACTTGTCTTCCTCTCCCAGAAGGCGTACTGTTAGTGAGAGTTAAGGAAGGTCGATCTGTACTAAATATAACTGATAATCTTAGATCCAGTGAAATGGATGATGGTGATGAATTGGGTAAATATAAATCTGAATGTTTGTCTAGAACAGTGTCATTTTCTAAAATGCATACGGAATATGAAGAAGTTGAAGATAATTTTTCTGATTGTGAAATGTTACGTACAAATAGTATGCAGTCAGAACGAGATTCAATAAAGCGCACAACAGGATTAGAATTCAATACTCAATCAGATTTAAAGCGTTGTAATCGAAATGGAAACTTCTCAGTAGTGAATGATTCTTCAAATGTTTTCAAGAGGCGAACTGAAAGACTAAGTGATGATGAAGATGATTGATATTATGGTAAGTTGAATAATTCATAAAACACTACATGTTTGTATCCTTTTTTGACTAGCCATTGCCTCACTATATAGGTAAGTTTTAATATAATCCCTGTGTGTTTAGAAAATCGAAAACAGGATTTTTCTGAACATTTCGCAGTGTATATCACAACTTCTTCAGCAGAATATTCAGACTTTTGTTCAACATTAAAATATATACTATTAAATGGTACATGTAGAAATTTCCGTCTTTATGTTATTGGTTAGCTGTTTAGTTGTTCAGATTGATTATGTAAACGTTCATAAAAATCTTGTTTTCGATTTTCTAAAGACACTGGGATTATTAATATAATTGCTTGAATTGCACCGTCGTTGATTGGGTCGAATTGATCAGTTTCTGTTGGCATATGGGCTCCTGTGCGAATGCTTCGATATTACCTGTGTTCTAATTATAGTAATGATGAGAGGCAGGTACATCCACCTGAAGAGTCCCAAACAGGACGAAATGCGCATCCTGGATTTCACTGCTAGCCACTATCTATCATTACACTGGGATTATATTAAAACTTACCTATTTAATGAATAAACTTGACTCGGCGTTCAACTTCTTTCAGGACATTCGTAACAACTATGACCTAGATGTTGATAGTCATTGCTTTGTTTGAATTGTCTTCTGCTTTATTATAGGTTAGCGTTCACATTAAAAATATATCTACGCATAAACTCAGGGTATGCGTTGTTGAATTCATTCTTTCATTAGGAACAAGTAAACTGTCAGTTTATTGTCGCACAAGTCACAAATTAGCCTATATATATGAAAATTCAACATCAGCTTAGAAATTCTTTTAATAGGAATGCGGAGGGATACACTGAACATATTAACATTTACTATGAAAATTAGGTTTACTTGGATTTCAGTTGGTGGTTATTAAGTATAATATTAAAGTAGTTGGCAGCCAGTGATAACGTGATTAATTTACTGAAAAAAGGATCAAATGAAAACTTATAAATGTTCTTCATATATATATTGATGATGCGAAGATTTCCGGTTTTGGTTTAAAAAACGTATCTGTTTTTACTTAAAAACAGAATTATCAAACCTTATGTGAAAAGACATTTCTTATCGTCAATTCTAAAGGAAATGACGCTGTTATTTTTATTTCTTATTGCCTATAGATTGGGTGTATAGGTGCACACATTTTCGACGTATAGTGGTAAACCTGACAAATTGGTTATGATGTCTACTGTAGTCACTTGTTTTTATGAAGGTATATTTCATTAACAATCCTAACAACAAGTATCATATACATACGCTTATTTGTCCTTTTTCTAATTTTATAGAATTATGAAGATTTTCAAGTGAACATTGTTGTTTCACTCTGTGTTCATGTGTAATGTCCTCTCTATTGAGTAAAGTTACCTATACAACAATCTGTAAATATCTGTATATATTTTTGTACATTTTCTTTCGTATATAGTAAATAAATGATTTCTATTTCGTACTTTTATTTCACTTTGGATAGTGTGTTATTTTGTAAATCGTTTGTTTGTATTAGTGTATTTTTCACAGGTCTACTGTTCATCTGTCAGTTGAGTGAAAGCTTTTCTATTCATTCGTTTATCGATATAAATATAGAAAAGATAACCTTATATACTGGGTAATAATTGAATATGAAATGAAAATTTGGAACTCGGTCAGATTCCAACCAGCGACCACCGGGTTTCCAGCCCGATGCTCTACCAACTGTGCTCAGGCCGCAGTCCAGATCTTCATTTCATTTCCAATCATCACCCAGTATAAATGCTAGTATGCCAAACTACGGCTATTTTAGATAGTCAAATGATAAATGACATATATTAGAAATATGATTAAACATAATAAATTTTGAACCAACATCTTACTGCAAGCCGTCATGCTTAATTTGAGGGTGGAAATCAAAATCATTGCAAGTAGACATGATTTGTTGGGATTTTGAGGAAATTATTTTGTTCTTCATAATTTCTCAGAAACGACCTGTTAACGTTTTTCATGTTGTTTTACGTGCCCACGTATTCATTTGCTCTCTAGCGAATTCCTTCTACATAGGTATGAAATTTCACTGAAGAGAGATGAAGCAACTTAACGTTTCACCGAAGCGAATCAGTTACCATACCTTGTAAAACCAGGTAAGGGGAAAATAAACAAGATAGGAAAATATTCTTATGAAGAACTAGAAAGCAAGTAATGTAATAAGATAGTTAGGCTGTGAAGGCAGATAACAAGTATACAGATGCATAATTGTGATCGATTTTCAAACTTGTCCGACAGAGTTGTCAGTTATTTACAACTATTTTAATATTCACCGGTGCGAATGTTTATAAATCCTTGTAATGTTAATGGATTCAGCTATCCAAAGTACCCACCTCCATTTAGTAGATACAGTGAACAGTCAGTGTAAGCGATTGGTTTGTAATCCCCCTCCTTCTTAGTTACTTTTAAAATGTTTGATACCCTTCAACAGGGGAAAAATGGAATTTATTTACCTAATCTCCAGCTAAACTGGTGAGTCCTACACTATGATGAGGGACCAGTTCATAATCTTATCATTTCTTATCTAACTGATCAATGTTGGCTTCTGTTGCAAAGTGTCTAAACTTGCTTTGAAATCTCATTTATTTTCCATGCATTTTCTTTTTACTTCATGACTGGGACCTCATGCATTGCCTAAGATTGCTTTCCAACTAGTCAGTGTTACTTCTAATAAATCAGTAGTCCCAACAGTGCTCGATGCATTCTGACCATTCAGCAAGGGAGATACACATAAGTCATGACACAAAGACTATCAAATCAATGTTTTAATTTTAGTCTATCATAAGCAATTTATTCATGGGCAAGTGCTCTTAGCCTGTTGTATCTGTGTCAAGGGAATAACAGCTCTTAATAAAAACCCGGTTCCTATTTTCCACGTTTCCTGAGCGCGTTGTAGTTCTAAGTGAGAGGTTTACTGAGTCAGTCGTGTTGGTTTTATATTGAGGCATAGTACTTTGTTTTCATCAAGACAGTGTGGGAAACAAAACCAATGAATAAAAATGACTTGAAACAGGTATATTACGGTTCGGTGAATAATCATGTTATCACAGAAGATATAGACTCGGAAGCGTAAGTTTGAATGAAATCCTGTCACTTAAGTGTGTGTTAAAGCATAAATACATATATACGTTAGAAGGAAGACTAAATAAATCATTTTGATTACACCAGTAAAACGGCACTCTGTCCATCAAATTTGCCTTGGCCACGCAGTATGCGTAGGTCAAAAATGGGAACTACTTAACTTCAACCTCATTGCCTAATGACTTAAAATTTTAACTTCTGTTTTGGCCATTTATCTGCATAAAACTCTTATGACAGTGCATGTATGTACATATCTTATTAGGAGAAATAATCTTATGAATAGTATCTTTATTGTACATTACCTTTGATGTAGGGAATATTTGTAGTAAAGTTTACACTAGAATTCTAATTTATAATTCCAGATGTAACAAAAGAACTAAGCCACCTATCTGATTTTAATGGTGCAAGAAGTAAACAGCCGCATTGTCTTCCAACTCCACTATAAATATTCATGAGTTGCACTTGTCTCCTCAGCAATAGTTCAAAACTCCCCATTGTCATAAAACAAAAGACGTGTAGCGCAGAGTCACTCTTTTCAGCGATATCATTCTCAAGCTGTACAATCGCATATAAATATTCTATTTAAAAAGTAACAGAAAAAAACTATTTCATGAAATATTTTGAATGAAGTTCAGACTTTGCTGTTTGTCCGAGTCCTAGGGGGAACAACATCGCTCATTGGGAGACAGGTACAACCAGCTGACGAGTCCTAAATAGGACGAGACTCACGTTCTGGTTTCCACTGCTAGCCACTATCCAACATTAACATAAAAGTTTAAATCTGATTGCAAATCAGGAGATTGGAAGAAGAATTATGTATTGTTCGAAATAATAATGAAAAGAAGACTTATCAGAACGGAATTAATATTTGGTTACTACGTTAAATGATGCAATACGCTGAATGTAAAGAGAATTATAGGAGTGGAGGAATGTAATATGTAAGATCTGAACTTCATTCAAAATATTTCATGAAATAGTCCTTTTCTGTTACTTTTTAAATGGAATATTTATATGCGATTGTACAGCTTGAGAATGACATCGCTGAAAAGGGGGACTCTTCAGCAGTAGTTGAGTCTTGGTATTAGATGTATTCTGATGAAGAATGGACTGGATTGTTTGAAAAAACTTGGATAGCAGTCACTCACCTACATTATATTGATCTTCATTCCATATCACGATGTAATTGGATCATCGTAAAGGTCACTTTCTGTACCAAAGCTTAAATATTAACCTGAAAATTTCATGTCAGATTCCTATTCTTGAAAAATATCTTCCTAGCAAAATCGAAGAGTTGGAGAATGAAACAAAATATTTGTTTATTTTGTTATTTGTTCTGATATACTTCACGGGGATTACAGAAGGTAAAATACACCTTATACGATGAATCTCGATATGTTTTTGACGCTGAGCGTGAGTTACGTAGGATTTTGTCATTTTCAAGGCAATACAAATATATTTTACGGTGGTGTTTAAATTTTACAAACTTATAACCAGCATTTCATATGAAGTAGCATCTATTGGAAGTATTTGGATGAAAACGACCAACCGTGTTGAAAAACTTTCGGTTGTATAAGAAAACATGAAGTATAAGGTGTGAAACATGTTCTGTGATATGAATATGAAACAATAACAGTACAGCTTTTTTTGTTGTAGAGAGGAAGCATGAAAATCATCATTTTGGATTTAACCATATGCAACAGTCAGTTTACTAAACACTGCATATCTGAACAAATGCTAACGAACTTCTGATGGGCTGTGTACTGCACGCAGTTTGGTTGACGCAACATCTTCGATTCTTCAAATAATTCTTTCAATTGAGGTGAATCTTGGTGGCGTAATATAATTCACCTTTCTCCATACACTCACTTGAGATTCACGCATTATTTGTTTGGTGGTTCCATTGTGTTGAACAATGTGAAATGTTCAAAATCGGTGGAAAGAGAAGATTAGCTCTTCTATTTTAACACTATCTGTTGTCCTATTTAGCACAGTTATGAACTGCCTAAAAATTCTCTGAAGTAGTTTGGATCGCTTCTAATTATAAGGTGAAAATGACTACATAACATTTCCAATTCAGTTAGTTACATAGATTTTTGTTGTAAAAAGTAGACTAAGGTGTATGTACACAGTCAGCCTGTATTTATAGTATACGACAGGAAACTAAACAAAGCCAGCAGCGAATGCTTTAATGTATATTATAAATGGTTCACAGTCAGCAGAATTTTTCACTATGATCTGCAGATATTTCGAAACTGCAACAGCCAGGAAAGTGCATCCTTAAAGAAGAAATGAGCTTCGGACTTTTCAACAAAGAGTAATTATTCGATGACTACATATCAAGCATATGTGAATCATTTTTATCAAGGCTAACCCATTGAAGCTAATTAACAAGAAATTAGAAAGTACTCTCAGATGCATCAAAATTGAGAAAAACAATGTAATATACTACTAAACATATTGTTATACGATAAACTGTCATCGAGATTAAAAGAGATTACTACGAATGATGTAAATGACAAACGGAATATCCACCCAGGCCAAAAGTAGTATTGTACGAATGTGTATACTGTCTATAGTTAACGTTGTGGCATATTTGTCATTTTTATGGGGTTAAATACAGTACTTACACTACTATCTGCAGACTTCTTCCTGTCATTACTTCCGCGCATCTTATCTCTAAGATTATGTAAGTAGTTTTGAGTTGTGAAGTCCAGTTTGTGGTCGAGATCTTTCTCCGGTCTGGATACAGTTGCAAACTTAGATTTCATTATGCCTAGTGATCAGTAAAGTGACAAATATTGAAACTTACATCGCGTAATTAAGTAAAATGAGTATTTCACCAAAGATGGCTTCGTTGGCGTTCCCAGGGGTTATACTGGAATGCAATTTCCGGCTGCAAAACTGACCCCAGAATACTGCTGACTGACTTTCTGATACCATCCAATAGTTTTAGCGTCGTGTTGGTAGTCTGTAAGACTAAAGAGAAGTTAAGGTGACCAACGTATCTGTGTTTGAATAGACTTTCCTTTAATGCTACTCTCAAGAACAAGTCCTGCTGATGGGCCTGTTGCATTGGATTTGTCATGAGAACTGGCATCTAAACAGCACATGTTAGTCGTCATGGAGGAAGTCTACCTGTAACTTCATGTTTGGAATATCCTGCATATTCAAGACTCACGTTGCACTTCTTTAAAAGTGACATGTGCAACTTCCAAAAACGGTTGAAATTTGTTCTATGGTTACC